ATAGTGTGCCCATAATCCTTAGGTGTTACTCCTAAGGTCGGTGTTGAACCTGAGCTTAAGCTAGTACTGCTAGAGGAAATTGTTTGGGAGGTTTGTAGTGACCTACTTTTGTCAACAAAACGCGATTGTTTCAATGAAAACAATTATTGTTATAACCAATTGTACCAGTGACTGTTTTACTGTGCTCGTTTGTTTAACTATGTTAATGATAGCCATTACACTTTTTCTCCCATTGACTTTGAACTTGTACGAATTCGGTTACGCTCAGTAACCACGCTTGTACTCCTTTGGCACGATCTCGGTATTCTTCCGATACCACGAGATCGCCAACAAATACATCTCGACTACAGCCATCATCTGTCTTTTGATATTGGCCTACGGGGATCTTATTTGTTAATTGGCACGTAGTCTTGTAGCGGTGTTCATAGTCAAGCTCAACTCGACACCATGCTACAAGTTCATGATATTCAGTGTGTGTTAAACACAACACCTTTAAGGACAAGCTAATTGTCACCTCACTAAAATAGGTTACTAGCTATATAACAAGGCTTTACGTTATACTTGTACTCAAAATATCAGTTGAGATAGAATAACTTGTCAACCTCGTCTAATAAAGTTTATAGAAAGTAACTGTAAGTTTTGCAACGAACTATGTGAGCACCACGTTAAGTATCTCTGACCAGGACACCCTAACAGTACGCAACCGAATAATTAGATTATTAAGCTAATGTCTTAAGAGTTACAACATAATTATTTACGACCTGCCATACTTTGTCCTACGACTACTTGTTTGTAATTGTTATAACTTTTGTTGTTAGAACGACATTTAGTCGACTTTGTGAATTGCGAATAAACTTGGTATCTAAATTGGAGCTTGGTTCTGTTGTTTATTTGGGTTCGTAATTTACAAATAGGTCGATACAACATACTTCAATAATTCGGACGAGCAAAACTTGGACATAGGAAAAAGTTCTTCAATTTTTTAGGTTCCCGGAGCGAAATTCCCAAGTACCAAACCAAAGACAAAAGAAACCAAAATGTCCGAAAATAATGATATAAACAAACATGTTCAGAAGTTGAGTAAAACAAATACACCCAAAAAATACACAGTAAAATTATGAATATACAATATAAAGATTGTAATCAGCCGAAGGTCTTTAGTTCTCTCGTAACATTATTTTGTGCTTCCTGATAGTGACCCCAGATAAAACCCGAGGGTACTGATGATGGTGCCAGACGAAGTCATGTTCATATCATTTCGGTGGTATACCACGAGGGTGCTATGAAAGAGGAGGAAAAAGGAAAGAGCAAGAAGAGGAACGGACAGCGCTCATGACGAAAAAGTTTGTTTATTCATGATAAGTTAATTAAGGAATGACTACTTGAACTCGTTCTTTTTTATAAGATCAATTTCCAAGCAGGTATTTTTTTACCATGTTAAAGAAAACAAGACTAAGTATGGCATTAAACGAGAAAAGAATTGTTAAAACGAAAGTGATTCATGTGCAGTTTTGAAATTTAATGAGGAAAATACAGAATTGATATACGCAAATGGATCTCTTTCCATCAGTGCTATCACCATTCTTTTAATCAGTATTAGATTTTTAAGGACCTCGTTTTGGCGCAGTTGTCCAGTTCTGCTCGTAATAGGATTTTTCGGTGGGAAGTGAAACCAGTTCAATACTTTAAAAATGAGTAGTGAGGCTGTTATTTATGGACGAACATTCAGAGACGCCAGTGACCTTGGGAGTGTCCACCTAAAACCTAGAACCTAATAAGGGTTATAAACTAGCGTAAGCAATTAGAATTATGATTTGCAGTTTATCACCACGAACTGACATCAGATATAATGTAAAAACTCTAATTCGCAGGACGGATGAGTGAATTTAGTGCTAAAATCTGAGACCCGTCATCTTATATTTAATTTGTTATTTCGCAAGTTATCGTCTCACCAGAGACCTAACTTAACCAAATATGCTGCCCAGTAGATGTGGAAAGATTGAAATTATCTCCCTACGACCATGGTTGCTTACAAGTAATACCTGCCTATTTCACTTCATGATGTTAGGCTCTCTTCCGCGTGTGGTATGTATGAATATTGCTTTAATCTAACCTCTTTGTTGCACATCTTATTAGAATTCACTGTCTCTACTAGTTCCAATTTGTAAGAAAATCAGACAGCTAAAACTGTTGTATTGTGAGTTAGACATCTAGTTAGCACACCAAACTGCTATGGAGTTAACTGACGATATAAGTTATAAGACACTTGTCAGATTATAGGTGCTTTAGCGATTATGAGGACAGCTAGCTGATCAGAGAGTATGAAAGAAGAGTGTAGGGTTGAAAAATTTATGAGTAAGTCGATAAGTAAGTAGGAAAACAATATTTGAATGCTAGTAATAATAAAAGTATTTTAATACCAGTAGAACGCGAACTAGATGGAACTTGAGATAAATAAGAATAATTTGAGCTTCTTATGATCGGTCATAGTTGAACAGCACTTATAGGGTTAGTCAGTTATCTGTCCACGAACTGGACAGGTACTTCCACAAATTATGATAGTTATAGCATCCAACTGCAATTTAAGCCGTAATATATAGGATTTTAAGCATGTAGTTTTGTCGGATACTTGAAATAGATAAATTATTGCATGTATATGAACATATGCACCTTGGACTTGTCATCAAACGACAAAAATGACGCGCATATTAAATGTCCCTGAAAGGATTTATCTTTCTCAATTCTATGAGAAAGTAATCCGTTCCACTCTGTCTGAACCTGTGTTATGTTTCATAGTTATTTTTATGGACAGTTTCTGAGTGTTTCTCATTTTTCACCAGAGTAGTCTCTAGTTGCATTGAGCTTTAATGGGTCGCATTCTAAGGTATTTTTAAGGTCCAATGTATGCAGCACCATCGACAGTTAAGCAGCAGGTTGTAGAGATCGAAAACTCAGGAGAAATGTTTGTTTAGCAATTATGAAAAAGGAATGCAAGTTACTCAACAAAAAAACGAATAAAGCAAGATGTTAGGACAACTATGTGTAGAATGTGAAGTAGAGGTGCTATTTAAGTGGGAGATACTTGCGGTTGGTGATATGGTCACAAAGTATCGATTGGTCACTTATTCACAAGGCTAGATGTTTTATGGCTCATCGTTAAACATAGAATGGCTTAGGTAAGCTCCGTGGAACATGTGGAAAGCCCCAGTTGGTTCATTAGGCAACATATAGAAGATTCAAATCGGGTAGGAGTTTGACTTGGTCAGATTTTTACTGTTGACCTATCCCAGAGACTGTCATGGAATGTGACAAATAAAATTGGCTTCGTTTTGCTTACTGTTCTCGATATCCTTGGTACAAAATCCTGATTACAAAAGTCGTAGTTACTATTTTTGACAGAATTTAACGTGTCACGATTTGCTGTTGTTTTATTGTATAGAATTGTGAAAAGTTAGGTAGAATTAGTCTTAATTCGTCTCAACCATAAGGTACCCAGTTTCCATCTTCATATCTACTTATGTATGATAGGTCCGGTTGAGAAGTCTTGTAAAACGACATTGCAATTTCTCAATATCTTATCGGTCTATGGAACTCATGAAATTAAATATAATTGGGCAGTATTCCAATAGTGGCAGGAAACATACATAGAAGGCAGTTATTCTTGATTAATTTAGATGGAGAATACGGTTAATAAACTAAATATGTCTGCAGACTTTATAAACTTGGGATGTAGAATGTTCGGCGAATGAGAGAGTTTTGAAATATTTCACTTCTAAATCACAGCTGCTACTCAGTTATCCAGATTCCAACTTGTTCAGCTGTAAGCTTATCTGCGGGTTAAACGTGCCGAAATATATGTACCCAGATTTCTCGGTATTAAGAGAGAAAAGCTGTGTATCACACCAGTCTCCTGATTTATACAAATCTTTTTGTATTATACAGCTGACCTTGAAACTGGGACGTATGTGGAATGCATATACAACTTTAAGATCTTCAGCAAACAGAAAGGTTTTCCCAGGTGTATAGTAATTGTATATGTCGTTGATATGCATGATGAACAATCGAAGTCCAATAATTGAGTCCTGGAGGACATCACTAGTAAAGCTCTGAGGGCCGAAGAAGTGTTACCCCACTTTCATTTTACGAAGGATGAGGTCCAGTTATGCATTTCACCTGCTAAACTGAAAGTCTTTAATTTAAGTAGGGGAGAAGGGTGTTGTACCCTGTAAAACGCCTCGGATGTCCACAACGCTTTAACCATTAACACTTCCTAATATGGATTGTACCCATCAAGTGAAATCAAAAGGCGGAAACGAGGAGGTTCGAAAATATATCTGATAGATTATCAAAATATCGAGGATCGACTGATTTAATCTGGCTAGCGATTGCAGAGGATGTTGAGCACGGCGTTCCCACTAGTGATCAGGTGCGGATGCACGATCGAGCTCTTTCAGCTAGGTGAGTCCATCAAACTAATGTGGTCAGCATCCAATGTTGAAGACTTACAGAGCGATTTATTTTGGGGATTTATTTACCCCTATAGGCTCCCTTTCATTTATATCGTTCATTATATAATCATAGTATCCTAGTTGTCTTCTTAATAATCTCCTCCATAGTTTTACACAAGATGGAAGTGTGGTTAATCGGGCGATAGTTGTCTGCGTCTAGTCTGGATCTCTTTTTAAAGTAGGGGATAATGTATGTAGTTTTGCATCACCAAGGGAAAATGCCTAGATCAAAGGTCAAATTAAATATTTTAGTGAGCAGGACAGAAGTGTTAGGACCTCCGTATTAAATTAAATAGGGAGGGTTTTTATATAAAACTCGAAAACTAAGACCAAATAATATACTACCAGATATTCTTTTTACACACCTAACCATAAACCACTGATAATGTCTACCAAAATGCCAAAAAATATTCTAATATCTTTCGGGAAAGGCCGGTTATGTACATCAATGTAAACAGTATCGAACACTGTGAGCTTTTTGTTCCTTTATCTCTAGAATTGAGATCGTGAGTGGAGGTTGCGGAGCTTTTGAATGGCAGCGCTATTGCACTAGCAAATGTGGTTATTGGGTTTAACATAAACCTAACATGTCAGACCCAGGTCATAGCATCGATGTGATTTTCGGTAAGAGGTTTTTAATTTTATTTATTCCGATTAGGGGGTCAAAAGTATTTGGTCCCTTTACCATTGACTAGCGATGCAACATTACTGGACTTAATGAAGTCAATAGACTCTATTTTACACATTCCATTTGATAAACAAAGAATAATATACAAAGGTACCCTGGAACCATACCTACTTGATATGTTGTAGGAAGATCTCTTACAGATCCTGATGCACTAATTTCTTCCTCCGGTCTCACTCCTGGGTCTAGAGTTATGATTCTTGGTTCAGTAAGTCAGTAGAAGTAGTTTAATTGATCTGTTCCGCCAAAGGTTGATAAACTTAATCCAGATGAAGCCGTAAAACTTGTCAAGGCGAAAGACACATCCGATGCAGTCGATTTACAACTAAAAGACCTCTCAAACAAGCTAGATACTATTGTAAGTTCAACTAAAAAGATTTACAAGTCACGTTTATTTGATCCTGAGTGGTTTATAAAAGCATTGTGTTCACCCCCTAAATTCATTTTCTAGAATGCAATAGTTTGCTAACTACGAGCAAAATATTAGTCGGTTAACTATTATTATTTCTATGTTTGAAAATAATTTCGGTGTTTGTATGCCACTTACGTGTTATATACCACAGTTCATCGCGATTTTATCTTCTCACCCGGTTGCACTGATAGGCGATCGGTACTACTTTCAGCTCTTAATTATCATTGGGATATGTTTGCTTGTACTCACAGAATAAACCATTATCATTTTCTAGGGATTATGTCAGCAACATGTCAACCCTAATTATTAGAACAAATTGAGGGGGGAAGAGTCTAAGTATTTATAAAATGGAATTGTTGGTTTATTTAAAAGCTGAACAATTCTACTAGGTAAATTACACTTTTAATACCCACTTTTTTTTTACCTTATCGAACTCTGGTTCATAATCCTTATTTGGCTCATAATCAAATTTCCGATTGATAAGACTAATTTTCATCCCATACAAGCCTGTGTTACGTCAAATTATTTGCGAGTTTACGTATTGCATGGGGAATCATGATTGGGAACTATAGTTCTCAATCATGCGAACCTATAGGCTCTTATCCTGAAATCCAACATCTGACATGAGCCTGAAGTCGAATTTGCGCAGACAGAATTTCATCCTACAAAATAAAGCAAATTGACCAACACTTGATTCCTAACATCTACACTTATGCATTGCAGAAGTTTGCCTAATTTAACGTTTTTTATCCATCCTTCTGATGATACTTTTTATTCAATACTATAAATGTAGTGAAACATGAAATTCTCAACAGCTCAGTTTTTCATCAAGGTCTATAAATATATCTTTGGGAAACTTTGAAACTATATTGCCGCGACATCGACACCAAAGTTAGCGCGAGGTTGATGTATATATATTATTTTCGTATTACTCCCAAATAAACATTTAGTCATGATAAAACGCTACGACAATGTCGTAGAACAATTTCACAGATGTTACGCAGTTGATGATGGTCCGTATTTGTTGTTGAAGAGTTTGTTTTATCACGATGAACAAATCATTCCATGCGAAGAATTATTACAAACCAACCTAATAGTTGAGTATTCAGATACTGCCCGGTTGCCCAAACCGAAGCAGGTGGTTTTCTTAGGGGGCCACACCCCGAGGTTTCGACCTACAGGTCCAATTCACAAGGCAGTGGAGCATCGTGAGGAGATGCAGTCCCATGGTAGCCGGTGACCAACGATTGGTTCACACGCCATTTGTTCCTTCAGAATACTGGAGCCCATGTGCACCATTGGTTTGGGATCCGGTTAAAGCGCCGGACATTCTCTTTTCATCCTCTCATTTTCGTAAACAACACATCCGCCACGAGAAGGCAGTGAGTAGGACTTTCTTGGCAGAGACTATATACGCGTGGCCATGTGAGAGCATTTCGAGAGGGAGAGCGGACTCTCCCCACTCTCGGCCGTACCAGGGCGTTTAATTTTGTTATTGACTAACGCGATTTAAGTCGATGATTATATACGAGGATGGGCGACATATATATTTCAACAAAGATCATTCATGCGATCTACATGGAGTCAGATCTCCGGCCACTAAAGTGGAGAGCCTGTCAACAAAAATCATCCGATCTAAATGACCACAAAATAAAGGGCCCCACACCGCCTATAATCAATATGTTGAACACACATAGGTTTGCAAATCTCTCCCTATTTTTGTTTCTTTCTCCTAGTCCATGTTGTCCCATGATATCTTCATAACCGTTGTTGTCCATTCCAACTTTGACGTTTAGGTTTCCCATCAGTATGGTGAAATCCTTTCTTAGGCACTTCGGTATGATTGATTGCAGCGTCGAGTAGAACTGATCCTTATTGTTGTCATTGTTATCATTGGTGGGTGCACAACATTGGTTAACATTCATTATGATTCCCTCCTATTTCGTTTTGAATGATGCTTTGATGATTCTGCATCCATGAGATTTCCATCCATTTCGTGCCTCTTTGGACAGCATCAGAGCAACTCGCCGCCTGTGTGGAGCATTTTCTTATTTGTGACCAGAGTACAGTAGTATCATTCTCGTATCTAAATTTTGCTGTCCATGTAGTGTCCAATGGGTTTCACATAATCCGATGAACACCGAGTTGTATCTCTTCATTTCCGTAGCTATTTGACTGGTCTTCGCGGTGTCCCACAATTTTCGGACGTTCCATGTACTTATATTAAATGTTGTTCTGGTTGTTAGAAGGAGCATCGGCCTCTTGACTTCCGAAGAATCTCGGCTTTTATCGTGAAGCGTCATAATTCTCCCTTGAACTCGGTGGTCAGAGTTTAAATAGCTTGATTTGATTATTCTGGTTATCATTTTTTAGCAAGTTTTTTCTACAGGATGTGGTTGCTGACCCCATGTCAAACCCTCCTTTGCCCATGCTTGGGACCGGCATTAGCCCTAGACGAGCTACAGGTTGTGTTAATCTCCTCACATACGAACTACTTATATGTTGTTATTTTGGTTAACTATTTGTATGTTTATGAATCCTATGTGTCACTATTTGTTTTGTTAAAGATTTCAAGTTATAACCTACAGGCATTTTCGGTTTACTTTCTACATTTAGTTATCTCAAAGTGATTCTGACAGTTTAGAGGTAACTGCACACGTAAAGTCTACAATTGACATCATGGAGCAGTGCATGCGTACTCTTGAGCTTCTGGACTCTGTTCGGTTGCCATACAATTGCGAAAGTGAACGCACTTGTCGTAAGAGGCTAGTAGACACAATACAAGTAGGTTTTAAAGTAACGTTTATCTTTACCGAAGCGGTTTATGTTTAACTTGATACCTTTTTAAACAGTGATTCCAAACAGTAAATAGTTGGTTGTCGTTATGGTCAATGTCACTCATGTAGTAGCGTTAACTCAGCTTATGTAAACGTTGCTCCTCTTCAAACTTTGAAAAAATTTCGGTTTTTTATGTATGAAAACATTGAAATATCTATTCACTTTACCTTTCGTACCAACAAAAGGCAGTGCAGACCTAATGTTCACATAAAGACATATTTCAGTAGAAGCACAAATAAACATCTTATAAATGAATATTCGAAATGCATATAGCGACCATATCTTTACAAACATTTTCAAGTATTGTGTGTTCGATTATTAGTTTTGATGATAATTTACTCCGTTGTTATAGACGCCCTTAGTCAAATTCACTTCACAGACTCTTGGAGTTAATACTGTCCAATAAATTTTAATTTCACTCATTGTGCTTATATATATGGACGCTATTACCCAAAAGACGAACAAACCTTACTTCCTTTTATTTTTGTCGAAGGATTTCTCTCATAAAGTAATAGTCATATGAAATGATCAAAAAATTTGTCAGTGTTCACTTGTTTTTCAAGTATATTAACCAATGTAGTTTTCCCTTTGATCTCTTTATTTCTTAACTCATTCTTTTTTCGAAATATTTTTCAGGAGTTTCTTGTACAGGCGGACAAGTTGAGAGCTGAATTTTTAAAGCTCATCACAACACAACACTGATATTTTCTGTGTTAACACTTCTGTAACATGGTGTTTACTACAGTACTACTTTTGTCAGTAATTTAAAATGTAACATTACAGTTTGTTATACCTGTATTTTTTCTCTTCGATCACAAAAATGAATATAAAGAATCAACAAGGGTAACTGTCATGGAAACAAACGTGACAACTGATCTCAGTAAAAGCGGATAAAAAAATGAATGATTTCGTTGCATATTTTTCTCCTCTACCCCACCATTGGATTTTCAGTCATCGCTGTAAGGCAGTAAACCTATACACGAAAATAAAACAAATTTATTTAAGTTTGGAAGCTAAATTTACAGTGAATAATGAACTTACGCTCATCTGAATGTTTACAGTTTATTACGTGATTTCATCGCAGACATAAGATGTGATGGAACTGAGAAGGGAAATTCAGAAACATTCCATTGCGAGAAATTATCACACGTTAAGCATATGGTATTACTCTTTGGTTAAAGTATAATTGACGGTCATGTTAAAAAAAGTCTCATTACCACAGAAAAGATATTTTAAGAATTAGGATTTGATTCACATAGTTATCTTCTCAAGAATGTTTCACAGACTTGATATAATTTTTCAGTAAGGTTCATAATGTCCTATTGTCTAATTAGCTGGAAGCATCATACACAGAAACAAATGTAGGTAATGTATGGCACGATACAAATGAGTATCGTTCCTTGTTATCAGACTTCAAACTAGTGATCAACAAAAAGGTGTTGAAGAACGAGCGAATCAAGTCAATAAAGTGTATTAAGTGACACCATTTTCAGTACGTAGAAGTAGATAATAAGTGGATCCGTCCTACTGAGATGAATCAATTCTACGACGTTTCACCTTGTCTGCTACCTCTAACATTGGTTATACCGTAGAATTCAACTAGGAAGCTTGCACATTCTTGAACTTTCTATATCAACAATAAATGACTTTGTTTAGTAGTCTGACCATTGGTAACCTTTCTGTAACATACACAGCATGCTAGAGTAAGCCACAACCGGTCATGTGTAACATATTGCTCAAACACTAATCAATCAGCACTTACGGGTTTTAATTTCATCCAATGCTCTGCATATCTGACAACATCATTGATCACTTTATGGTTCCACTATACGCGAGCAATGCTTCAGAGGTACCTAGAAGTGAACATTTACAACCTATTCGCAAGTATCTCTAACTTTCAAGTAGATAACTGGTGTCAAAAGCGAAGAGGATAATATAATTGGAGAGTGCACAAAAGTTTACTCACTACATAACTGTGCTGCTAATTGTCACAATTCTGGGTATCCGGCAATTAAGTTACTGTACAGTCTTTTATACATAAAGTATATAGTAGGCTGGAGTTTTCTGTGTGCTTTCTTAATTCGATTACTTCTTCGACCTTGAGTATATGGTCTTGATATTTACAGGGTATCAAATATACAAGAATTTCGCGCACCTCATACTTACCATATCATTTGGGTATATTGGAGTTGTAGGTTCTGGTAATGTGTAGACAAATCTTTCGATTTTTCCACTAGCTTCAAGGTATATGTTTTTGCATGACAAACATTCATCCATATTATTGCTAGCTTCAACACTTCGATAAAGGCCGATTGATATTGTCCCGGTACTTGCCAACTCAGCGTGAAATAACTGACTGAAAGTCAGAATTTTCTGTAGAAATAGAAAAAAATACGTGCGATATCTTATGTTACAGATTTAGTGGCAAATTTCTTTGTATTTGGCAGTTCGTGCAACATGTCCTAAGAGGCATTAAAATTTTGCCTCTTACGAGGTCAGTACTGAGGTCAAAGGTTAAACATAAGGATTTAAGCCCTCTATTAGTAGTATGAATGGCGCTGTGACTGACTTCTATTCAGTGTATGTCTCTGTACAAAACTATACTTAAGTAAACAGTTTATTATTGTTTTTGTGTAATATGATAAAATCCAAGTGATCTTCATGATATAATTTACAAACATGGTCACCGTTCTCGAACTATCTAAATAAGATGATGGAATTCCGTGCGTATTGTTTTCACTGTTGGTTCGTCATGTTTAATGGCGATTCTTGAGTCAAAAGATCTTTATTAATAGGATTGGTTTTTACGTCACTTATGTTCTCTGTGGATTAAAAAGCAAACACTAGGTTGAGATTGTTTAGACCTTAAACTAGTCGTTTTCCTGTCTTGTATACTGGAAAAGCTAACTCGTTCCTTCCGTCTTAATGTTCAATAAAAATATATTTACATTTATTACCTGCGAAGCCAGATGATGAAGTTCTTTATCCAATTCCATAAGGGGTATTAAACGAATTTGGGATAGCCGAACAGCAATCGCTTCGCCTGTAAATTAAGTAAGATTATGGAGCTCTTTGCATTACTTTCTAGATATAGGAAATAAAGTAAGATTCTTCCAGTAAAATTTAAAATTATCAATGACTTAGAAAATCGCCTATTATGTAGCTCATATATATATATATCGTTTGTCTAGCGTCTAGTAATTTACTCGATGGGTGAATGGACTACTGTATTTACTAGAAAAGCGTAATTATATATTTCAAGAAATTAGTTGTGTTTCTTGACTGTAGCAATTTAATCTTTTGATATTATAAATAGTATTTATACAGTTAATTCGTAATTAGTAAGTGCTATTCAGTTCAATTTATTCAAAATCTAGCTACTAATCAATGTATTGAGACAGTTTTGATTTACTTTTGGTGCTTAATAAGTCCCCATCTATGATTGCCTTTATCCTTGCATGGAATAATTTTATGATCATGTTCAATTATAACAACTGGAGGAGTTTTGGGAAATACCTCTACCACTGATAAAGTAGTTTTCGCTTTAGAAATGAGAGAGACAAATTGAAGCCTAGCAACATAAGTTGACTGAGACATTGAGTGTAGTTTTCCAGTTTCCGGTTTGTAATAACTTGGTAAAAGTGAGTGTGATCTCAAAATCTTTCTTTAAATTGAACTTTGAACTGAAATATGAAGTAGGCCTCATCCAAATGTTTTTTTTCTGTTATAATAGTTTGGACTGACATTAGTAAGGCGGTTGCATATTAGCTATGTTTTTCGATTTTCAAACACTAAGTCCTAGGTTCGAGGCTCGCTCCACCTATTTCGGTTCGGGCAAATGGGTAGCATTATTAGCTTTGACACTTAAAATACCAGGGAAATGAGTTAGCTTATTTATTATTGGTCGCACACTAACGGTAGCTGTTTGAAGTCACAGTCAAAATTAATAATTTCTAGAAATCATTCCAGTTCTTTATGATGGCAGTGACGCAAATGACATTGTTTAAGTTTCTAGTCCTTTTAACCAGGAAATTGTACTTAATGTGAGTCATGAATGATCCCCATCTAATGGGTTACAACTTCTACTTATTTCCGAAATCTCAACTGCATCACTATGAAGGATCAGTAATGCTTCGAAGGTTATTATGATTGTTTCTTAGTAGTCCACTAGTATTCTCAACTTTCAATGATCATACTTTACAGGCATAAGTAGACTAGACTTGGCTTTTGCTAGACAGAAAGATATTTTTCCTATGCTATAGGTGACTCAGATAGTACCTGTTATCTCAATACGGAGGTCAGCCTCACCTGTTATGACTACCCATTCGAGGTTAAATTGGCTAGAACACTTATTTGATGAGGTCCAACCGTGCTAAGCAGGTCTGCTGGAGGTTAATGGGACATAAAGCAGCAAATGTAAGGTCTAAGGATGAGGTCATGGTCTCGATTGTGCTGGGATGTCGGCGTAAGGTGTTATGGTGACTCACAGTTAAATTTTGTTAAGCCCTTTATTAACTCACTTAACAGACAATGTTATTCGACCAGTAATACTTCGCATATTTCTTTGTACTGTTGTGATCACTATCTTGTCAGTATAAACGTGTACGCTTGATCACATGACAGCCTACACCTCTTTCTAGCTTAAATATCGCTTGATGAATTATTCTGTTTCCCTTGTATATATGTACTCGAATCCTACTGTTAGCTTTTGCCTTGCCTAGTTGTGCCTTATTCGATTTGGCCATAATTTTGCCTCTGTATTTGCTCGCATACACACATTCACCTCTCTGCTTCAAATCTGCTCGATGGGCTTATAACCTTGTTATTTAGAACAACATGTATAAGCGAACAATATTGTTTTCGATTAGATCCTCGTCAGACTTTACTCTAATATGCAGTAATATTTATATGCATATACGAAATTATTAAACCACATTGTTGTCTACGCTATCCGCTAGTGAACTGTAGTCGCCACTTCTTATAGTCTGATTTCAAACACCGTTGAAACTTATATAATAACAGTTATCAATGTGGCTGATTAATGAAGCTAAGCCTTTATGGTGTTTTCTACGGATAACCGGCCTTAAGAGTGTTGCTTTCCTCAAAAACAAAGGGGGATTAAGAAATCCTGGCCTCAAAATACCACGCCTCAATTTGCTCAAAGGATTTTCGTTCCTGGAGTTGAGTTCTGGCTAATTCAGAACTAATCCCTTTGAAAGTACCTGCAGAAAGATCGTAAGTTACCGCTTTCAAGCAGCTATAACTTGGACTCTGGAGTCGCGAAACCATCACTACTAAGCTAGTTTCCTTCTCAAGAAGAAATATTTTTTACGTCTAGGTCAACTGAGAAGTGACACTATAACACCTTTATCTGAACTTGAGATTTTAAATTGGTATATTGCTTTGCTCAATCAATTTTAATTCGCCGTTTTTCTAGAGATTTCATGCTATATCCAGTAACTAGTAGTGTTAAAGGTTGGCTGTTTAGACTTCAAACAATTCTTTGAAGTTTCATAGTTCTCTTTATCATTTTGAAGTTTCACTATCAGATAATCTCGAACATTCGCTTTATTGATAAACAATAATCAACTGCATGAGTTTAAGATTTATACTGTTTGTCACTTATCAATAAATTTTCTAAGACATTACTCATATCTGTCCATCAACCATGAAAGTTTTGATATCTCAAAAAATCAGTACAAGTTAAAATACTAGATAGAAAGATTTATTTCGACAATTTAACTCACCTGTTTCAGTTTTATAGCTTAAAAAACTTTTTACATTTATTTGTTCATGATCTGCTGTTATATAATTAGGATCTGTCTTCTCTTTCAAGAGTTCTGCATTATTAAATATATCATAAATTACATTCTTATTACCCTCTACATAACAGTCACTTGATTGACGTGATCTTGTTTGTCCATCAAACTGGGGTATATTTCCATTTAAACTATTCTTCTTTAGAAATGCTTTATTGTGTTCATTATTCATAAAATCAGAGATAGAACCAGTAGTTGACAAAGTATTTTGTACTTCATTGCAATAAGGCTGATTACTTTCGTTTTTATCATCAACTTGACTTGGTATATTACCAGTTAGATAACCTGGAAATGTCAAAGTACTGACTGGTTGTCCCTTTAAGCCTGGAAAGAAACCACTATCAATAGCAAATACCTTTTCTACTTCATGACCTGGTCCACCGCCTAAAATTGTCTCAATAAATGTTATTACAGTTGGGTCGAATAGTACCTGAAAATCAAGTGTAATGCAACAACGTTCTGTAGGATAAGTAAGAAATAGGTAGAATTAACTATTGTTTTGCTCATACCATTTATGTTTAATTAAATGATATGATATTAAAATATTTAAAACCATAGATATAACAATATTTAGTACGTAGTTTCAATTAACCATACTGTATTTCAACACCTGCGTAATGCAGTCTTTAAAAGTAGGGGATATTTTCATTTTGCTGGTATGTGATCTACCTTCTAAGCACCACTAGGGAACCTATTTAAATAATCGTAACCTGAGGTTTTTTACTGCAACTATACATTATTTTGTGATCTCACTTCATTCAGAAATGTCAAACTAGCGAAAAATAACGTTTTTTTAGTTAGTTATGATGTATAATGTAGCCACAAAAACATTTCTTAAGGATCCAGCTGTCGATAAATGTCATAATGTGGTGTCAGCTACTTATATTCACATAAGTAGTATGTAACGATGGTCAGAAATAGAATGTATTTCAGTAGAACATCGAGAAGGAAAGGATGGGAACGGATAGTAATCGGTATGAAAATATACGAACAATGAGATCTGAGACGATGAACTGATATTTGCAAAAGGAACAGTCAATTTGGAGACAAATGATTAATATTTTACAAATTAAGTATTTACTGTATGGTTCTTAGATTTTAGTGAGATATTCTGTAATTTCGTGTCCCCACTCGTGCTTTTGTTCACCACAATAGCACTTAATAATGGTACATCGGATTTTACTCCGCATAGGATAACTTTAATGACTGGTAAAAATGCGAAAACATGACTTTTTTTATTGACGTTACCAAAGTCATAGTTTATATCCGATTATTCTTCTATAATTCTTCAAATAAGTAGTTAATATTTGCATCATCAGTATATAACGTTAAGCGCATTAAAAATAACATAATTAGATAACCAAAGTAAAGTTACATCTATCTAAAAACGCTACGGATAAATATTAATGTCAGTTGAAATATTCTTTTCATTCGCTCTGCAAAAGCTTAGGCCGGAAAATTTCATGAAATCTGAGTTGTTTTTACTTTATATTCAGTGTGATATAGTACGGCCACCCTATTTTGTACATTTCTATTCTGTGATATCACTGAATTATATTGAATAGCTAAAATATAATACATAGAACACAATGAATACTGTTGTATTTTCTTAAGGCATATTAGAATAGGTGTAAGTTAGTGAATTCAAAAAGGAGACAAATAAAAATGCTAATGTTCTCTAATACTATGTAATGTAAATTTCGTTGTCAAACAATGAAGAGGATCACAATAGAAATTTGTAACATAACAGAATCAAAATAGTTAAGCAATAATGTTGAACGTAAACCATAAACTGAATACACTAAAACTCAAGTTAACATGAATAAGTTATGTTAGTATTCAATTATTTTCAATAACTGATCAATCCTATTTTACATATAAAAAGAAAAATACTGTGAGTTCAACTTCCTTTTGTAAAGTTAGTTATCATTATTCTACTTAAATTTAGAAGAAACTAAATCGTGATTCATCTAAATGCGATGATTATAACAAAAATGATCTCAACCTTTCGAAATCTATGTTAGTTTGTTTTTTGGTAATATTTATTCTATTCTTGCAAAATAACACTTCTGTTATCTATAAAAGTATGTTGATCAATGAAGTGAACTTTTTTTTTCTCCACCAAATGATATACTATTAGTATTATATAGTTAAGTTCTTTTAATTTCTAGGTAACAATCATTTTAGAGAACTATGCAGTAGTTAACAAATTTATATCTGCTAAGATATGGATTAAAATAGTAATTAAAATGACTTGGATCTTTTCTTATTAGAACAACGTATATAAGCGAACAATATTGTTTTCGATTAGATCCTTATCAGGCTTTACTCTAATATATATTAATATTATGTGTATTTACAAATTCAGCTGCTTCCGTGGAGAAAGCTAGATTTGGCGTACTACCAGGCAACTGAACCAAAGAGTTAGTGAACACCTCCTTTCGTGGTTTGGAAAAGGTAATGTCAAGACAACACGCAGCTCGGTTCTATCACACTTGATCGATAGCGGTCATATAGTGGACAGAAACAAGTCATTTAAAGTTATTTATTGTATTCCTACTAGTTTTCCTGATGGTGTTCGATCTCGTCTCTTACATATAGCAGAATCTATAGGAATTCGAGCCAACGATTCAAGTCTATGTGTTTATAAGAAATTTGTAACATCCTTATCTCTCTCCTGGCCTTATTATTTTTCATACTCTTTGTTCGTTTATTTTTTTTCTTCACACCCTCCCAACCTTTTATTCTTTCAAATATACGCTTTACGGTCTAATTATCTGAACACTTCTTATTACGTAATCTTATAATTTTTATAAATGTTATCCCACTGTATATTTTTCTAATCATTGACCTATTTCCCTTTATGTAACATTGGTTTAAGCCATTATTATTCTTATCAAAAACTAGTTCACCTGTCATCACACTATCAATTTGTACTTTTCACATATTATATAATCTTTTCCATTGTTATCATTGACTCACAAATTACCTTGATTGGTTTAATAATTTTGTATATGCATATAAATATTACTGCATATTAGGGTAAAGCCTGATGAGGATCTAATCAAAAACAATATTGTTCGCTTATATATCTTGTTCTAAATTTACAATATGGGAATTTTTCAAACTTTTTCTTATTAAACATTGATTATAAATTTGCCCAACAAAAACTCAGTTCAACGAAGATTTTGATTGGCTATGGTGAAGCTTATAGAATTTCCATGGAGGTCTAGCTTCAATTAACTCATGATTTCAACCAGTGAAGTTAATGTTGAATAAAATAAATTTTTACTTACATTTGATGAAAGACTATGCAAGACGTTAGATTCGAAAATATTTCCTGAGGCAATTAATGGATTGAAGTAAGTACTTCCATATTTTGATTTAGTTGATAGAAGGCTTGCATTGGTTACATCATCTAGAATTGAAAAGAAATGTTTTTATTGTCTGATATAGGCTTGTGTAAATGATGAATTATTTCAGAAAAAATATTCGAATCTTCGATATTACTATTTAATGTGTTGGCTATTTTCAATATAAATATTAACATAAACTAAATCCATTGATAATTTATACCGTTATTTCAAATTTTGTCACAGGATTACACTTTCGGAAATTATTTTCAAGTAACATTAAATAAAGAACATTTGAGAGAACAATTGTTTTCAATAACTTCATCATCAGGCTCTACAGTTCGTTTATCGTAATTACCTTGATGCCCCCCCCCTTTATTACATATTATATTCATACAACAATATTATTATTATTATCTCAACTGACATGATGAAATTCTCCTACTATGCATTTTATTCACACAATAATTATCATTATTGGGGTTGTGGAGATTATTAAGTTTTTGATTGAGATCATGAATCGACTGATGTTAACATGTGCTCACTGGTGACTAGCTTCGTGAGGGAATTCTCGGAGTTCTAGTGAGAAGCCGTGACCAGTGGAGCTAATCCGTGTCGGGTAGAGACAGGTATCTACCTCCGTACAATGGAAGATGGTCGCGCAATTTCGTGGATTGGTTGATGTTAGACACTAACACCATTGGATGCCGGCTCAGTGGTCGAGTAGATTAAGCGTTCGCGCGCGAGACTGAAGGCCCTGGGTTCGAATCTCGAGAGGGGCGGGATCGTGGATGCGCACTGCTGAGGAGTCCCATACTAAGACGAAACGGCCGTCCAGTGCTTCCAGGTTTCCAACGGTGGTCTAACATCAGTCGATTTATGATCTCAATCAAAAACTTAATAATCTCCACAACTTCAATAATGATTATAACTGTAGAGCCTGATGATGAGGTTATTGAAAGCAATTGTTTCCCCAAACATTCTTCATTTTTGAATATTCTACAGGGATTTTTAAACTGTTAACATTAAATGATCTAGGTTTTGACAAAATTGTGAAGAAGTAGTAAAAGTACATAAGAGATTAGTAAGCAGAAATGTATTTTAGAAAATGTTGAAATAAACATACACATTGAATCTCCTTGAATAAATGTTTGTTTTTGAACAATTTTGCCTACATCAACATTTTATACAGAGTCACAATATTGGGGAGTTGTAAATACTATGAACTGTACATTAAAAGTATTTCAAATCTTTGAATGGATTCATTAAAATATTAAATTTGCATTGAGGTACAAAAATTCAAGCCAATGTATCAATCTTTGAATCAAGCCAGAACAATGATTGAGGCAGAATAATATGAATTCATTATATTTTATGGTTTCTCATCAGCTGCTAACAACCAATTGTGTATATAAAGGTAACAATGAGTTATGATATAATGACATTGATGGCGGATTGAATTAGAACGACAAAGGTTATCAGTAATAACTAATATATATACAAGAACATGTTAGAGGTCATTTAGAGGTGGGATTCAAAAACACAAGGGGTGGATGATGCATTAATTAATTGAGGTCCAGAGACTAATAAGATAGATTGTGTGATAATTTTAGGGGTTGTGAAGGATTTACATAAGGTTACTGGAATTAGAAATTGATAAGATGAGTTACGTGATAATGGAACAGGATTTGAAGAGTTTACATAAGAGAATTAAATGAATGAAAACGTATGAGTTAAGGGATAGTTTTTGGTGTTAGTTAAGGGAAGACCACATAACAATGTAAGCACTAATTTAATAATGGTAAAGACAAAAATAATGTACCAAGGTAGTGATAAGTTTATCATTGTCAATTTCTGAATACATAAATCTGATGTGTAATTTTTATTGATATTGCTTCGACGAACCGGAGAGACGTTGAGTTTTTTTTTTCGGTTAATAATTTTGAAGGTTTGTGGAATGTCAGTGGTATGTTCGGTGTTAAACAAATGCCGAGCTATTGTACTGTTTAGAGCCGTTGCGCTTCTCAGTAATGAATTCATATTAATCTGCCTCAACTGTTGTTTTGGCTTTATTCAATTTCATGAAGGTAAGAATGTTTATTTACACTTCAGAAACAATTATGAAATAGGGAAACGCATGAACGGTTTCTTTCGCGTCAGCCATAAATCAAGTTTAGGATGGTTTTGATGAAGTAATAAGTGTTATCAAATAATTATGTTACTTTGTTATATGCAATCTAACTCTATTAGTTCATCTTATTTCCTTTTGTCACAAATTTATAATTTTGTTTTCGTCTAATTTGAATAATAAGTTATTTGAATCTGTTGTCTCTGTTTTCTGTATTTTTTCAAACTCATTTTATTGTTATACCTAGATTTAAATCTAACCTTTAAAGCGCATCACCTATTCGTTATATCTGATTATTCATTGTGAATTTCGGACTGTTTTTAGGTGGTTGATATGATCCTGTGAACTAAAATGGATCTATTGTATAATCAATAAATGTATGACCCTGTTCTCCATACAACTGTCGCATACCGAAATCTAACGATGTAGTTGAAAGATTTAGAAAAATATAGCCATAGATATTCAATGAAAGCTTAATCAGTTGTATTAATACATTATCATAAACTTACAAAGCTCAGTTACGAGCATAGGATGATTGTGTTCAGTCATATTTAAAATATCTAAAAGCAATCGATAGAGAAAAAAATTAGCCAGTAAGGATGAAACATGAAAAGTCACTATTGAAACAGTATACTTAGATGAATGACAGCTACTGACAAATGTCACTGTTTTTAACTATGTCCTACTTTAATAACAAATTGAAAATGAGAGATTTCTTAGTTTGACAGAGCGGGAAATCAAAGTAAAGCATTATCATATAAATATATTCACAATGGTACAAGATGTAAGGTAAGGTATTACAGCATTAAAGTTATCTCACCAATGAATTGAGAGCAGCTTTAAAAGTTTTGAAGCTGAAAGCTGGTAAATGATGAACTAAAGTCATTTTATGATGAGGAATCTGACTGAAAGAGACTTTGATTATAGCTTGATAACACATTCGCTACAACAATGAGATTCAGAAATTAGATGTTAACAAAAAATCATCAAGTAATATTGAAAATATAATGGCAAATTATAGTAAGTAAATCTGTTCAACTTATTACATCTCACAATAATAATTCATTTGTGAATAACTAGTACCTTGCTGTAGTTCTTAACTATAACCAAATTAAAGTGACGGAACTTGACAGTATAATTAGTAACCTAAGTAACTCAACATTTCTATTCAGTTTATTTAATTTCGAATGGCTAGAAGCCATTTATAGAAAGATTAACTCCGTGGTTTTGTGTTCATCGGTATCTAAAACCTATGGTAAATTCTTTCACTTTGAATTATATGGTTCTAAATGGGAGAAACTTTGTGGCCTTTTAAAAACATCCACAACTTACGGCAGAATGTATCAATCAATAAGTATGAGAACTCAATTTTAAAAGTTTTCAATAGAATATTTGCCATAAAGAAACTTGTATATTAATTAGAATACGTAAAGCTAAAACTTAAAAAAGTTTCACAAACTTGTTTTATGTGCATCAGCTAACAATTGACGAATATTCAAAGTGCATAGGATACTTTCTTTATCTATCATTAATGATGGCTTTCCAGAAATATCAAATGAACATGAGAGTACAACACAAGTTGAACATCTTTCAACACCGGCAGCTCGAAGATTTGCTCTGTTTAATGGTGATCCCTAAATTGTGTAATAAAATTAGCTGAAGGATAAGAATAATAAGTTTTTTTTAATTTTTAAATAGATATGTTAATAACAGATTTTCTGGTTACACAAATGATGAATCGTATCCTTATAGAATTATGAAGAGCAACAGCTACTTTGGAATAGATCGCAGATACATTGTAATTGTTGATTTATGATGATCTTATACCAGTTTCCCTTAGCTTTTTGAAATCTAAGAAGATACACGTTGGTAACCCGATGTTATCATTATTTACCCTGATTTAAGTGATTCTACTCTATAGTATATATGCTTTTCTAAAGAAATGACTTCAGAAATCACATCTAGTTCACCATACTAATTACAACATAGAAATATAAATATAGTTTTGATAAGTATGATTTATCAGAGAATAAGAATATAACATAAATCATCATAATTATTATATACTTAAAAATACAACAGTCAAAACTTGACTTGTGATAGCTACTAACTGTATATACCATACCTGACAACTCGGAATGGTAATCCTCAGCACAATATGATGAACATTAGTGGTCCCACAAAAAGTAATTTCTAAGTAAGATTACAAGAAGAGTTAACCTCAGTACACGTTCACTGATATTTCTGGTGCTTTTTAGAATTGTGAACTGAAGCTTTGATATTGTAAGTTTGAATCACATATCCTAAATCATACTTTGTTAATAAACAAATCGAAGCACTGATATTTTTTGTGAAATTCTGAACCAAATAAAACAATTTGGTCTCATTAAGAAAAGAAACCCCTGAAGGATTATTAATAACATTGAGGGGATTATTCATTAAGAATTCCCCATATCTTTGTGTTCTACACCAGATAACTTCCAGTTTATACTAAGTAATTATGGTAGATCCCAATTTTTCTTTAGAGACAAACATCTTGCCCTATGTGAGATAGTATATCATGTAGGAGTCCTTGAAAAAAGAATTATTGGTTGTTTAATGTAGCAAAGAAAAAGTTATTGTCAGATGCTCGTCGATTTTAACCACATTAATAAATAGTAAATACGTGTTTGACTTTAATGAAAGATAAGTAGAGACGAATATAGTGCTCAATGTTGGATCACTATTCAATAAAGAAGTCAAAGAATATTAAATATTAGGAATAAACCCTATATAAAATATTATCCAAATTTATATACAATGATGTCTTGGCAAAACTAAATAAAAACTTTCTTCTTATACTTTACTAAAACTGATGGGATAGCCAGATTAAATTGACAGATGTGTGCAATCTCGGAAAGACATTTGTAGAATGTCGATAGAACAATGAGAAGACGAAGTTGATCTGAAAAATGTGATGTATTTGAGCTATACATTTCGAACAATCTGGCCACACATATACTTGTCAGGGCATTTTATATAGAAGATACATGGATGATATTTCACTTATATGTGATAAAGATTTTGACGTTTACGGATTATTGGATAAACTCAATGGTGTTCAAGATGATATCGTGATGACACATGAAGCAGAAAGTAATGGCCAATTGGCCTTTTTAGACATACTCTTAAGTCGAAGGGATGATGGCACTATTAGACGGTCAGTGTATAGGAAACTACCTGGACGGGACAATACTTAAATTTCCATAGTTTTTATCCATTGCAATACAAGCGAGGCTTGGTTAAGTGTCTCTTTAAGAGGACTCAAAGGGTTTGTACATCTGACACGGTGGAAAAAGATGAAAAGTTACTGACTGACACATTAGTAGCAAATGGTTTATTAATAGGTGCAAAAGTCAGTTAATGCCAAGACCTCTTGTTTATTCGGTCCCAAAGAAAAAAGTTTATATCAATCTACCATATAGAGGCGAATCTAACAGCATAGTTTTAAGACAGAGATTGAAAGCAGCGATCGAGGATACCTATTATGCTGCTCAATTGATTGTGGTTGAAAAGTCTAAGGCAATGATTCCTAGTAGACCCAGACAATGCACTAATGATTGCGTCACATCCCATTGTATTTACCAATTTACATGTTTGTGTGGACATACATACATAGGGAGGAGTAATCGAACAATGCAATCAAGGGTCAATGAACATGTGCCTAAATGGCTTCAAAATCAGTGTGTGTCAAACGATCCGATCAACGTGGGTGGTAGAAAACCAGGGTCATCGATAGCGAAACATATAATTGAAACGGGGCACAAAATTGACATTAATACAGCTTTTAAAACGTTGTATAGAAATTGTCAAGGACGAATTCTTAAGTTTATTGAAGCCTTAGCTATTCGTAAATTTAAGCCCTCCCTTATGTGTACAAAAACAATTTGTCGTAACCTTGAATTTACCTTGGTAATCCTTAAGTCATTCTATGGCCTAGGATAACGCGACAATTTTTTATTCTTTCTCTCCCGTTTGTTATTTTTTTTACTTTAACTTTCATGTAATTGACCTTTATTAATTTTTATATAAAATGCCCTGGCAAGTATATGTGTGGCCGGATTGTTCGAAATGTATAGCGCAAATACATCACATTTTTCAGATCAACTCCGTCTTCTCATTGTTCTATCGAAATTTATAAAAGGCACTAATTGCTTTAAATTCGTAGAATGATAAATGAAAACTAGAGTTTATTAGTTACTTATTAATTTAATAATACAAAAATCCTCAGTATGGTATATTACAGCAGTTATCAGTATCTTGTTGGCTCTGGTTATTAGCACTCTGTTAAATAGTAGGCACGGATAATGAAAGCTATCTGTAAATCAACCAAATTACTAGATTTTTATTATAACTAATTTACCATAATCGTGTAACTTTCTGAAAAAATCATCAGAGGCTATGATATTTCTCGGATAAACTGACTTACTGAAAAGACATAGATATTTGGAAGATTTTTCAGCGATCGCCATTCATTTTCAATAACTTTAGCTTCGCACAAAATAATGATTGGTTTTAATTCTTCGACCGGTATCGAAGTTGATCTGAGTGGAAGTACAAAACTAGCTAAACCTGATTTTATTTCTTTAGGTTGTTTCATGATGCATACAATGATATGATTTTCAAACTGACAGCGAATCATTTCTTTCATCGTCTGGAACGGTAAATAAATTCTTCAGTTATTTACTGATTTAAACTTATCAAAAGCGATTAAACAAAAGAGTGTCTGATTTAAAAAAAGTATAGAGTTATAATCTCAATATGTGAGTAATTTTCGCAGTATTTACTTTTAATCATCAAAAGTTCCTAACAAGAACAATAGATGTAGCAAAATTCCGTCTGATGACACAGAGTTATAAAGGCTTATCAAGTGACCGAAATCTGTTTTTCCGACTGAACAGGTTCGCCAGAAATGTAATATTTTTCTATTATGATTATGTCAAATACTCACCGTTGAGATGTATGGTAACACATAAGGATAAACAACTAACAAACGAGAAGGTAGTTCAAACAATAATTTTCAGAGGTGTACACACTGGGTGAGTAAAAAATTCTCTGTAATTTGTATACTTGAATCATTATTCGACTTAACACCAATTTTCTACAAAAATAAACCATAAAGCTTAGTAACTGCAGTGAATGTATAACCTAATTAACCTTCATGTTTCATGGCTTATTTGTTAAAGGATTGCATGTGTAACGTAGAAGCCAGCAGTTCTTTTGAATATTAGTCATTGTTCTTTTGGTACTCGGAAGATTGTATTATAACGAGACTCGTACCAACTTGGTACGACTTTCATCCAGTGAAGTTTAGATTTATAAACACCAATATAATTCCCAATCACCTTAATAAGTTAAAAAAGAAGTAATAATTAATGTACACGTTTGTAAACAATTGGTCTTCAGCATTGTTTAATGAATATAAACACATAATAATGACATCTTAAAGAAACTGGTACAGGAAATATTGAGAAAATTGTATTAAAAAAAAACCAGATGAGAGAAACAATTTGATTTATTCTATTTTACTTACCAAACATATATTTGAAAATTTTCTCTCAGTTACCCAATAAAATAAACCGGTACTATCACACTGTAAATCGATTACATTCAGTCTTTGTAGTTGCGCTAAATCAGTTACTGTACTATCCGGATACGGATAACGATAATAAGAATTTATCGAAAAACTACTTGCACATGTAGGAACTTTTGGTAATACTTTGGCTTTCCTAAAATGTAGTTTTTGTTATCCATGAAAGTAGAAAGTAAATCAATAAAACACATGATTTAACATTAAAAGTTGAAACTCATTTATGGTACTTTAAGAATCTTTTGAAATTGTAATTTAGAACAATAGAACATTTACAAGATGATATTTTCTAGAATTTTTGGTTCAATAATCTAGAACTGTTTTAGTGGACAATACTTGATAGCTTAAACGAAGAATGAACAAATTAAATTATTGGTATTTTTCAAACCTGTAGTGATTGAAGCTTTCGATCCAAGTTCTAAATCTTTCAGTTATCAATTTGTTCAAGTCGACTTCACAAATTTCGATGATAATAGAATATACAAGTGCACCTTGTAGAGATGGTTAACACAGATATATTTTGTAAATAATTTTTGTTATTATTTACAGTTGTCATAATTTCATCTAATTTATACAATCATTGTTGTTGACCGTTATTTAAATTTTACATTGACTTTCTGTTATTGTTAAATTCTCTTATTGTATGACATTGATTATATATAATGCTGCTAACTCACTTTTCGTTTTCACTTAATCAGCTGCCACACTAATAAATCTATATTATCATAGCTATAAACGTTTATTGATCAGATTGGTATCCTCATTACTCTATTATTCCTGGTATACATTATACTGGATATATATCGCATTTTGAATTATTGATTATAATAGTCGATTACGTGACCAAAATACGAACACGCTTCTAACTGACAGTTAAGGTAATGTTCAACACTCTTATCTATGTATGTTTGCATATTATTCATTGTCTTTGCACTTTTTGACAATACTTTATAACTATTTCTGTATTAAAAATATTGCTCGGCTACAGCTTTTAGTGAACATAGAAGAGGATATGGATCGTTTAGTCTTTCCATAAATTGTTATTACAAAATGGTAGTACAAGTAACTCTAAAACAGTTTATTTAACACAAGTATTTGACACCGTGAACTGACAAAGCAAATTGTAATATCTGACACTTCAACATTTTGAAAGAATTGAGGAACAAGTTAGATTTCTGGTAATAATATTATGATGATAATTTTCTACACGAAATGGTAATACTATCAACTTTATTATGATACTGTCTTCACACCGAGAATTTCATCACACCTGCTGGAAAAGGTCATTTCATATTTCATAACTTTCATTCAGAATCCACAGAAATTTAGCTTACGAACCCGACTGCCATGTCTAATACTGCTTAGTTGATAGCTCTGGTCAAGTTTAATTATTTTATAATTCGATGTTATTACAGTTCACCTACTATTATTCGTTTGTAAGATTTATCCACAGCTTTTATGAAACAAATGTACTCTCGATAGCTCTAACCTGTATTACTCAACACAGCACTTGAATAAGTAATTACTCTTAAGTGAACCGCTGTTGGACTAGGTCATCAAAATCGGTTGGTAATACAATAATAATTGACTATCATTTTATCAGAGACGGAATTCTATGAAAAAAACTGACTATTTGGTTAATGACTTAAGGCACACAATACTATCAATCCATTGAGTTCGATATGACTAGTTACATGAAGAACTAAATCTATCGAGGACATTTTATACTTTAATATGAATGACTTTATTTAACATTGATGCTTTTAATGACTCTTAGAGTGGATTTATTTAAGACATGTTCCGTACTCTGTACAGTCGTAAACTAAGTCTATCCTGCATAACGTATATGGATGTGGAATACTATTCAAGTGACAATGTGAGTAACGACAGCTAGAGATCTTTATTTCGCTAATGAGAAGATATTTCTGGTAGAATATATAAAATCAGTAAGTATTTGTTTGATGAAGCGAATATTTTTACAGTTAGACGAGGACTGTAAAGAAGATGATATACTGTTTAAAATCTTGGAGGTTTTCAACTAGCTAACTTAGGGGGTTATACAAATTAAGGAGAATATGCTCTGAGATTAGCTCAATAATAACAGTATATAACAATTGTAGTGATATGCATCAACCAACCTTTACCATTTTCTAAGCAATTTTAATCATCTTTTACAATATCTTGTTTTTAAACGTTTCATTGAATGTTTTCTAGCTATTAATAAGTATATACTATATTAAATGAATTTCTAACATACCTGTACAATATAACGAAAATGTTTGTTTCGTATTAAAGAAATCAAATTGTTACGGTCAAAATATTACCTTGGTAAAATTATTTTGTTTTCATGACAATCCATATTAATTTCAAGCCAGTCAAAATTAAAGTTGAATAACTTGTGAAAAATAGAATGTATCAAATAAGTACTTTGTTATTTTCTAAGGCTCCTCAAGAATAAGAACATATCATACCTCTCAGAATCCAACTTTAAATTCCTTATCTTTGGGATGAAGATATTAGTTCTAACTCACTCTATTGAATAATAAAAACTTTAATATAATCGTGACTTTTGATATCACGAAATATAGATTATCGTCATCATTGATCACTTATGTAGGTATGGAAGCTAAAGATCCACAATAATAACTGTTCTTTGATTTACAATTACTATCAGTCTGTTGCAGAATCTTGATCCGTTCCCGGAGGTAACAATTTAAAATTAAATTCTCTGTAGATGAAATCTAAAGAATTCATTGATAAAATTAGACTTATATAATTCAAGAAAAATATTAGAGGAATCACACAAGATATTCTTTATTAAATAATATTTCAGTATAAAATGTTTACTTACCTCATATTACAGTAAGTTACAATTGGTTGTCGAAGAAATCTAAAACACATTTGAATTGTTTTAACAAAACTATTTGCAATTGGGGAAAGTGTATTTGACTGCTCGCATATATTATCTACAAATTAGGTGGAATTTACAATCAAATCTATTAATATGTTGTTAGAACACTTGGCATAGAATACCTATTGTTTTAAAACTTGTAGAAAATTATTCCAAACAGTTTTTGTGCAATTATGAAACCTATTGAAAAGAATTCCTTCACCACACTAAATCACTTAAAACAACAGCATAACCCATTATAGGAACAAATAAATTGTTAGAAATTAAGTGGTTCTTTTGTAAATGTTAGCTTTACATTATACGTTCTGAACTATTCTTGAGTTTTTAGACTATGTAGGATAGGTATTATCTAGTCATTTCCAGTTCATGATACAAATCATCTTCAATTAGGTCAACTTCACGGAAACAATTTGAGCAAATAACAACATTACTTCGTAATTAAACTAACTGGCATAAAGATCAGAAAATCACTTTATGTATACTGCGATAACGAGTGAAGTTAAAATGAAAGTAGTATTACATGACAGCAACCGATAGACTACCTGGTTTCACACAGAAATGATACCTATTGTTTTTTAACTTCACTAGTTATTTCGATAAATTTGTTATCTGATTTTAAAATTTTAACTTATATACTTACCCTGATTTCGACTAAGTGACGAAAATATTACTTGGCCATAATTATCGAACATTATTTGACCATCAATTGAGAAAGTCCTCAAGCTGATTATAACAAAGAATATTATAATGATAGAAAAAAAAACTATTCAGTAAATGGAATGACGTACTGCTATTGTTTTTATTTTCCTACAAAGACTTCTAAGCAGGAATAAACTGTTATTACTTCACAGTTAGTAAGATATTGTTTTTAAAACTTATTAAAAGAATAAGATTAAAGAAAGATTGATAAATTTGAAAAACTAACTTTACGGTTTAAGTTTCAACATAATTTTAGTGCAGTCTTTTGGAATTACAAGAACCTTTCAGGATAGTCAATATAGTAGTTGGAATAAAAAATTTCCAGGAGAAAAAGTGGATACTATTGCATAACCTAGTGTACAATCCAGATCAACGGCTTGGTAAAGCAACATATATAGTGATAATTTTTATCATATGCATTGTGTTGTTAATTTAGTACGGCTATTTACAATTTAAATTCCTAGAATTTAAATAAGACAACACACGAGACGATGCATGAAAATAATTTGATAGTCTATCGAAGATCACTTGTATGTTAGTTTGTATTTCATAAATTGTAAAACACAACAATGGGCAGAAGCATTATCATCATATTATGAGAAGCTACAAAGTATTCACATAATACATATACATAGCCTTCAATCGTCCGCTTGCATCTTCTTATGTGTTCTGCCAACGCTGTGCTTTAGATTCATTGAAACTCTCCACTCTATCCGACAATTGCTGATACTGTGACACCACGTTCCTCTACACACTACTTACAAACATCCACTACAAAATCATGATTATCACATCCATTTTCTAAGTTACCGTGACACTTTGTGACTCGTTTGCACATTTATAATAGAGTGTAAGAATGAGGTACTGAAACAGATGAATCTAGTGCCACGATGGAGAATGGACACCCTTAAAATTGGAAGACTAATATCAACTTTCATTTAGGATTCTTCCAAAAGTCATTTATTTCATACCATATAAATCATTGGAGGAAATAAGTCACTCGACATCTGTATCTTAAAAATTATCAACAAGTTGTATGTTTACTTGTTAACTACCCTTTTATAGTTATTTATCTATTGATTTAATACGAACATATTCACTTCTATTTAAATCTTTTATATTGAATAATACAATTCTGAATGGATTTTAGGGGAATTCTTTGGGGCTTCTTCCTAAAATATATTATCCCATTACTACGAATACAAAATAAGCTTTCATGTACTTTAAAATCATAGTTTGTTCTGGAGTATGTCTTTAGAAATATCACATGATGTAAATATCGACTGACTATAGGATTTTTGATATCTCTCTTTTTTTCCTTCCTAAAATACTGTCCGGCTTATAATAGAACTGATCTTCGGAGATTACCTACATAGGTCGTTTAAACTATACTATAACTTCACTTGGCAACCATATACCTGTTTATGCACGTGAAATTTAGTCATATTGCGTTTTTGTGGGAGGGGCAATGATAATAGTCTGTCTTCTTAACCGAAGTATACGCAATAGGGTTCAAACCTACTGTTCATTAGTTTAAAGTGGTATGTTTTTACCCATCTACCTAAATTTGTGCAGTTGCTAAGACTTTTAAATTGTCTGTGTACACAGCTATATATTACTTGTATCTCGTAATCAATCAAAAAGGCTTTGGAACCAATCATTTCCTTCCTATTACAACAAACAAAGTATAATCTTCCCAGTAAATTTAAATTTCATTTTTAATTTTGAAAAAAGGTTAATAGGTGAGCAAATTAATAAAAAAATGGTTTACCGTTGTGCTTCGATTAAATTTTTAGCCAAAACAACTGCACGCATTCGATGGGTATTAATTCGTACCCGTACACCTGGATTGATAATCATTTGAGTTTTCTTATCATTATTGGTATAAACTTGTACAGCTAATAAAAGTAAACCCCAAAATTCCATGGCAAAGCTAAATGTGAATAAAGTACAAAAATTCATAGAACAAAATACTCTAAAGACAAATGTTTGTGCAAAAAGTAGTATTTACACTTATCTTCTACTGAGTTGATTCATAGACACTTTTCATCACTGAACGACCACTGGAAAAGTTATTGTTACCCACTGAAGGCAGAAAAAGATGGTTTCGCAATATCGTGTATTGATCAATAATCTACAGGTTGTGTTCGCGCGCAAATCTGAAAGTACTAGGTTCGATTCATGCACGAGGGGTCATGAACGTGCAGTCTTGAGGGGTCCCATACTAGAACGAGACAACCGTCTAGTGCTCTGAGGTCTTTAATGATGGTTGTTTCATGATGTTTATGAGATCACCTCTGAAGTTTTTCAATAAAATGGATACCTTCACAGCCCTCCTAGAAAATGCCTTTCCAACCGTCCCATTGACTACCGACGAAGACAAGCAAAATAGTGGTTTTTCCATATGTAGGGAATGTTTTGAAAACTGGAATTTGATTATTTCAAAACATGGATAAAACTTATTAATCAGTCGATGAAATAACGGAAACGGTGCTACTCGAAAGTTTATTTCCTAAAACCAAAACTGTCTAAGAAACCAATTATATAGTATCTAATTATCATTATCCAAAGTACATTCATCTCCAGTTTCAAGTATACTCATACAAATCTCGTTTTGCTGAAAACGTCATGATGCGTCATCATTTACATTATTGTAGGTGTAATAAAAAAAAACATGCTAAAATTAGACAAATTTTGAAATATTTGGTATAGTACGCTCCAAGTCCATTACATTAAAGTATAAGCTCTTAACAATAATGTGCTACTGTAGATTAGTCTGCTTAACAAACAGGAAAAGATGAAATATTCGGAAAATAAATTCCCTTTTTATGACAACAGTGACATATATTCATAACCATAAAAAGACAATCTACTTAATGTCATTAAGATAAGACGTCAGGATATTTGAGTGAATCTGTTGACTGACTTTCATAGAGTTACAATTAAGTTTATATTGACAATTAATATACTCGAAAGAGCACCTCAAATGAAGTAACAAAATGGTTTAAATTATTCAAACTTAATTCAAAAGAATTACTTTTGGAAAATTATTCAGTGATTCTTACACTGTACTGGACTATATGTTCATTCAGTATTATTTATATTATAATCATATGAATAAACAAGAATGATACATTTCTCTTCTTCTAAAGCATTATATATAACAATATCTAATTTACTTATCAACTAAAGATCACTCACCCAACTAATTGTTGAAACATCATCCCATCGAATGCATGAGATAATTTTACTGTATATAATTTATATTTTGTACCTTGAAAATATTCATTTATCCAACGAGGTAAAGTTTTCTATCAAAGTGAACAGATAGTAACAGCGATGAATAATTTGATAGTATAACAAACTCTATCCATATAAACTAATTTGAAGGATTATCATGAAGTCTAACAAAGTTGTAAACAGAAATAGTCGCATTGTTATACCTTCTTTAGCAAGTAATAAAAGACTATTCATTTCTTATTTTACTAAGCATTGCAAATTATTTGGTTTCAAATAGTCTTTTTAATTGGTTTCTTATCACAGCTATATATATGTAATTTTGCAGTAAGAGTTAACAATGGAAATAAGAATACAGTTACTTTGGAAATGAGGTTGATACAGTAAACAAGTTGACAAATTACGTAATAATAGATGACGATTAAAAACCTTGCAGTATAAAGCGGTTAGACAATAATTTGTTAAAAAATGAAGTAAATGAAAGGTTATGTATCGACAAACATTTATACCACAAGTCAATGACAGTAAAAAGAGAAAGTAAAACGGAGGATGATAACTTTTGAAAGCCATATGGATTAGATCGCGTTATCCACTTAGCTATGGCGTTTGAGGCAAATTTTACTAGGTTCAAGTCCCAGAGTGAACATCAACTCTGATATTCAGGTACATCCAGCTGACGAGTCCCAAATAGGACGAAACGCGCGTTCTGGATTCCACTGCTAGCCATTGTCCATCTTTCCACATGGATTGTGTTAATTTCTATGAAGTAAATAATCTATTTCATAACAAATAGTATTATCTGTGTGATAATCATCCATCGGGAATAAGTCTTAAATTGTGGATATAGTTTTGTCAGGCATCTGAAGTAAGAAATGTTGTCTCTATAATATCTATCACTTAAAGCATGAATTGCAGGTATAAAGCAAACTTCTCAAACTACTTTCTGACTTTACCAATTCAGCATCATGAATAATAAAAAATGTAATATTTCGATTATTAAATCAGTCACTAACTCTAACTGCAGCTGTCGGTACTGAATCACGCATTATAAAATTACATAACAGAGTTGATATCCCATTTGAAACACAATTCAATGCCAGTAGGCCAAGTTTCATCTGTGTTAAACAAATAGCTCTATCGAATTGGTCACTTTCATATTCTTTCCACCCAGGTATATTTGACATCCATACCTGTATTTTGGAAGAAGATGAGCAAAGACTTTGTTGAAGATATAAATAAAATTAGATCCTAATAAAATCCAAACACTTAACTGACATGGAGATGTATAGATTAAAAAAGCACATACTGTGAATGAAAAATAGTAAGTTAGTTTAAACTCCCATCTATTTCACTTATTTTAGTGTTTTATCTGTCTGCAAAACTATGTGTCGATTACTACGCATTTGTTAAAGTTACCAGGTATCTTAAATATGGTTTGTGTTATGGTTATATGTTTTATGAACATTTATCTGTGTACATTCTTGTGTATAACCGTTTATATGCTTGTCTACTTTATCCCATAAACTTAAATTACATAAACTCGCTAGACGATTTACGTAACGACTGATGACTTCACTGATTAAAACACCACCCAAAATAAAACACTTATCATACAAAGTAAACCAAACTACAGGAATTGCTCATTCACCTCCGTTTCTGGTTTTGTCCTTAGATTAGTGCTTGAAATAAAATATATTTTCTATCTCTTCATGTTTCGACCACTTCATTTTCACACTTTCATAAATATTTACTCAGCTGACCAAAAGCTCGGACTTCTGAAGTCCACTTAGCTTCAGAATTTCTAATGGTCAATCGTTTGGCAATAATAATACTAATAATCATAAGCTTAGACTTACCTTACTTTCAATTAACATAAGTTCACAAATTATTCGAATATTTGGATATAGATTTTTTATGGAAACAACACACATTAAATTTTTCCAGTCATCTTCAACAGGGGTTTGACTACATTTATCAGAAAGAATAATCACAGCCTCAGCAGTTCTCACCTTGAATGAGTAAAAAGTAAAAAAATTGATATAAACAGTAATATGAAATAAATAAATGTTTACATATTTTTTCACATGAATATAAAAAGTGATTGATAAATGCAACGACAATACAACCAATGGAGTAGAAATGAGAATAAGTAAAGTAATCAGAAAACATCTGAAAGACAACTTGAGTAATAATTGCACATATACTCATAAAAAAATCTCTATGATTTCTTATGTTTCATAAATCTAAGTATCTATACAAGTAGATTTTCAAAGGAACAAATACAGAAATTTCTACCAAGAACTATATCCTAAATTATCTACTTTCTCCACCATAAAATGCTTTATAAGTTCAAGAAAATATCGGAACGCATTCGATTAAAATGTATTGTGAAAAATTGGTTTTAGTTTCTTAAAATTTTAGGTGAACTTCAAGTTTCTTAAGATATCATAATGTTGTTCAGTGGGACTGAATCCAGGAAAATATCTCATTGAGAAAATTTAGACTGTGTGTTAACATTACAGTCATCACAATTGATTGATCACTGGATGATCAATGTCATGCGTGTCTAGTCCTTATTATCAGTGCAGATCGAATGCTATCGATCATGTTGCAATGTGGCCACCAGTCTAGGTGACTGGACACCGCGGGCACTATTGTAAGATTAGATGGTGGTTGGAGGTAGTCGACAGGAAACCCTGGACCCGGGTTTCGTGCTACTTGGCACTCGTCAGCAAGGTGTACCTGTAATCTTTGAGGGAACCGGTGCTCCCTGGCGGATTCAATCCCGTGTCACCCAGCTTCACAGTCACAGACGTTACCAATGAGCTATCCGGGCCGCGACCGAATATCCTAACGTCCACTATTCCACAGCAGTATTTCTTCTGAAGTTACTATTTGAGCTATTTAAGCCACATAAGAATTCGTTAAAAATTAATAACCATACTAGAAGAAATGATCTTCAAACCACTGTGTTGCTCATTTTGTCCAAACATTACCAGTAAGTTACTCATTAAGTATCAAAGTATAGTGTTTCAGGCACTGGATTTGCTGAAAAATATGTATGGCAATTAGACTACAGGAGGAAAGTTCGTTGATTCTATTTCATTATTCATCATTCATATCTAATACAAAACTTCAATATTAAAAAGACTTAAAGGCGAGTTGTGTTTATATCCCTGACAAATAAAAGTGCGCAATAAATTCTTAGTTACAGCTTAAACTTTCTTTCCCTCAAATATATTAGTATTCTTTTTAATTATCTGGTATTTATTCGTAGCACCAATAACGGAAAATGCCATCCATTCTTTATTGATATAGTTTTGATCAGAAATGAGACTCAGAATCTGAATATATTGACATGTAACTTTCAGGTATATTCGGGATGGACAAGCCATATTTTTGGCACTCATTATTCTGGTGGATAATGTTTGATTCAGTCTCAGAAAAAACACACCCATGTAAAACCAGTTGTTTAGTCAAAAACTAATTAAATTCTTCATCCTGAATGACACTTCAATCTTTTAACAGAATACTACATTCTGAATAGGAATCAGATGTACAAAATGTTTCCCTTCTCTAAGAGGCTGTGTTTTTCTATATTCAAAAAAACAATGATCTTTAAAAAAACATAAACTAACTGCATTTAAATAACTGAATTACTTTAGCTCTTTCCAAGTCTTCTGGTAGTGTCACGGATCCTTTCAAAAATCTCATCGTAGTGCTTTCTCTCTGAAGTAACGCCGTTAGACTAATATCAGGATCAATCCTACAAGAATTACAAAATAACATTCTTAACTCATAAATTACATAGACTTCAATGTTTTTTATATGGTAATCAACATTTTTATCTTGAATATTCAAAATAGTCCATCCATATTGACTAGTCTAATGTTATTTTATACAATTATTCTGTTTCTTGTATATAAAATACAATGCCAAATGACTTATTTAATAATTTGACACTGGTCATCACAACGTTTACTTATATTATTTAAATATTTATATCAATGCACCATATCTGAACGCTTTTCAGGATTAGAGCACAAAACAAGATAGTTACTTATTAATTATTTAAAACAATCATATATATCTTTCAGTGTGATATTCAGTGTAGTTCTTTGTCAGCCAGTTTTTTATTTTATTTATATTTTTCATACTTTTTCTACAGCCCTATATTACAGACATAGAGTCTTTATTAGAAGCAGTAAGTAGAACATATTGAATCACTTGGAAAAATCCAACTTCGTAAACGTATTCCTTGATGCCATTTTTGAAGGTTCTACAGCTGTAGTTTTATTTACTTAACACAAATAATGGTCTTTGGTAATTCACACAGGTTTTTATCAATGGTTATGAAATAGTAGCCATTTTTCAGAAGTATTCATCGGGCTCTGTTCAGCCCATCGTTGAGTACATTCACAGTGCTTTTTCGTCTGACAAATGAAGTTACATAGTGGATGAAAAAGCTATACCTATTTAATTCCACTATCACTTCCATATAAGCTCTCTATACTTCTATTTTTTATAATCAAACATGGAAGTGAAATTCTGGTTTTTCCTCTAATTCTAGTGTGAATGTGATCAAACGATGTTATCAGCTGAATTCTTGAAGGCTATCAATAGGTTTACTGTTTTAGCACATAATGCTGTTGTCTATAAATCGTTATATAAATAGAGGTTACCGATTGTTAACCAAAGAAAAGTATGAACTAGGTCAACTTCTGTTACTATCGATTTGACACTCATTACTAACATAGAGATTTTTCATTATCACCCATTTGTTTGTTTTCCACAACGTTTAAATACATCATGTAAACAACTAAATATAGCACTTTCACCGTTCTGTTTTTTTGTTGTGCTTCAAATGAATACGTAATCAATGTTTGATAACCGTATTCTCAATCTTTTCACTATGATCCAACACCTAAATATTTTATCATAAAACATTCTATGTGTTAAATAACTAAAAACACGGTTGTTGAAACCTCGGAAATATCATTATGAGAAAAAATGTTTCATTACCAAAATAACATGTAAGTTGACAACAATGTTTTTCAAAATAAGACGGAGATTTCCTACCGATTTTATGAAGTTTATATTACAAGTTTTTTATTGATCAATCAATTTATAGTAAGAGATAAATGTTTATTATTGTCACTGAACTAATTATTCACAATTATAATTCAAGATACTTAAGTTGTTTGATGAGTGAATGCGCCTAAAGATTTGATTTTCGTACTATAATCAATAATAGTATAAGTTGCACTGCATTACTAAGATATGCAGAGACTAAATTATCACAGATTAATTTGAAAACCTGAAGTTTTTTATATATTATTATACACAACTGTATACTATCATAAAAGCCCTTAATATTAGTTATCATTGACTTAATACTCCATTGTATCAGTAGCTGTTTAGTCTATAATAACTTGTAGCAAAAAAGATGTTCAGAGGCAAAGCACTTTATATATTCCTTAATGGCTTGGGGCTTAACTCTTTTCAAATTAAATAATAACATTCAAAGTACTGTTAATTTCCTCCCGTCTAATTTTTATTTGGTTTTACGTCGTTAACAGGTTAGTGCTGCAAACGGATAAAGAGTATTTTTAATGAGGAACCAGGTTTTCGAGAAATATGATTCAGAAACTCATTATATTTATAGTCCACAATCACAAATCAAGCAGAAAAGACAACTCTAATTTTCTTAAATGTTGGTTATTGTTGTCTTGGGTAAAGTTTTCACTTAATCAACACTCCAGTCAACCATAATTGAAAGTATTCTGGAGACTTTAATTTAAAAGAGTGATCCAGGAAGTCAATGAACAACATTTTCACAATTTAACTTACTCTGAGAGGATGACAATCATCATATTTTCATCGTAATGGCCTTGATCGGCATTCACATATTCATCAAAAAATATTGAAAGTGTATGGTAGTTTATTGATCCACATACAACTATGTGCCTGAGAAGTGAAAAGTACGTGGAAGTCAATATCACAGTGCACCAGTTCAACATCTAAAGTTTTTATCAAGTTCAAAATTCACAAACCATTCGATAAAAGAATCATTTTATTTCTAACTGAAGTATCGATTCTTCAAAAGTTTTATCTATCTGTATATATGGTTAATACCGCTGTTACTCAACTCTGTGTAGATACTCACAAAATGACCAACACTTTAGTTTTACCTAGGTAGAACTCTTTAATAGTACTTTTATTTGTTAGAAAGTATAATATTAATGCAGTCCTATATAAGTGTTTAGTTCATTTTCATTTGTAAATATATAGGTAATTAGACACGGTGGTCATAACTGTGATCCGGCCGTCCTATCACTTCAAAGTTTATACGCTAAAAAAATAAGTGACGTTACTATATTTCATAATTGGGAAAGAAACAATTATCTCGTTAAAGAAATAAACAAACAAGAATTAGAACCAGAAATAATATCAGTATCTAACTAATAGCATTAACGTTCATAAAACTCATAATGTTCAGGTAGTGTTTCTTCATGATAGCTGAGACTAATCATGAAAACTGAAATACTGAGTGTCATACCGTATAGTCATTTATTCGATAACAGTTTAAGAACACTAGAAAATTTGTTACCTCAGTCACTACTTGTTTTCTTTATTTGAATCCTTGTTCAATAAAGAGACTACGAAGATAAGCGACTAACAATCAATTTTGAAAAATAGCTTTAGAATTGAAAGTATGCAGGTCAACGGATTGAGACTTTATTTCAAGAAAATAATCATTGAAAATATTTAACATATATTAAAAGTAGAAGTCAAAGTTTAGCGAATGAAGCACCACCACTTATTTAGTTAACAGAGTTAAAATTACACAATGAAAATACAGCTACTCAGTAATTGTCAATGAAGAAATATATGAGCTTAAAAAATAATGTTTGAGTAGTAATGTCTTAACTGTACACATACCTACTCATTCAGTTACTTGTATGTACAATGAAATCAATGTTATGTGGTCTAATTAAACAAATTTTCATTGCCTAACAATGTGATACTTGTGCCAGAGTTTGTGTATCAGACGAAATCATTCTCTATGAAAGATTGTTTGTGGAGGTTTGTAAGGTCTGATAATAGTTTTTTAAAACTAGGTATCTTAAACCGGAGAATCATTGAAAACCAGAAGATACGTAGGAAATCAAACTGAATACAAATAATCCATCTATATAACCACGTATTCACCAAAGACTCAGATATAAATTACTGAATTTTTAACAGAACAGTGTGACATATAGACGTAGCCAATGGAGGACTGGCTGAACTAGAGAATTTAGATTTTTGAATTCCTATCTATTGGTCTGAAAGTATCACAATTATTGCTAAACTTAAAAATCCTGGATACAATCATATTTGTGACCCTGACTGTATACGTTAAGCAATTACAAACTAGTATGAAACATCTATCAAATATTCCCTGGTTTCCACTGATTCTCCAAATTATATCATTTCGTTATAAAAATTATGTTTGAAAATATCTGAGTTTTGCCACTGAACCTGGAGGCTGATATTAATCAATTGAATAACCAACTGACTAAAATCTAGAGTCAGATTAGATTTTATAACTATCTAGTAAAAGTTTTTTTCTAATTTATAACCTTTACCTTGGCTACTATCAAAAATATTTAATTTCAAATTCATGTAAACGTGTTTATGTACTAACTTGAACACAGTTTGATACTAACAGTGTTACGATACATTGCGAGTTGTCTATCACGTACCCAATAGAAAACCCACTGAAACGACATGATTCGAATGAAATGATAATCATGATGATTAGATGAAAATAAGTCTAATTGATAGAACAATTAATCATCACTCAATCAGTTATAAGCTAATTAAATTAATTATATGGTAGGTACTAACTTAATAACAAAAATAACACGGTTATTTCAACAAAGCTTCTTCAGTCTGATGTACCATGAGTAAATGTTAGGTCAAATAGGTCAACATGTGACAATTTAATTATATTTCATTAACTAATCACTTGCTTTCACTTGTTGTTAATATAAATCAACATATATATATATATATATATATATATATATATATATATATAAATCGATAAGCACTTAACGCTAGAATAGATACTAGTGTATCTACCAGAAAAAAACGTGCTGTAATAAAATATCGTACACAACGCCTGTCACTTAATAGTTGAATTCATGAGTCAATTTAAGCTAGACCACCAGGAAAAGCCTGGAAACACTCGACGTCCGTTTCGTCTGAGTATGGGACTCCGCAGCAGTGCCCATCCACGATCCAGCTCTCGGGATTCGAACTCAGAACCGTTGGTCTCGTATAAACGCCTAACCTCTAGGCCACTGAGCCGGCATTCAGCTATGCCAATGTCTAACCTGTCACTTAATTGTTACATAACTTTCAACCAAAAATGTTGAGTAATCATAAAGAGAACGTATGCATGAAATTTCATACATTTTTTCTCTCCATTCATAAATTTGTCTAAAGCAAGAACAAGAAACGTAGTAGAATAAAAGAAATTCATTTATTTAGTGGTTTCCATTCTGTTATTCACTATCTATAGACAATAATAATAATAATTTTATCAGACAGTTAGCTACTCACATCACAGTTCCAAAAAAGGTTCCGTAAAGTTCTCTTATCTACGCTGTCAGACGCTTTCTCGTAGTCAGTGAAACTGATGTATAGTGACGAAATCCATTCAGTTGATTGCTTAGCAGTGATCCGTACTGTCGCTATTCGGTCTGTGCACGATCAACCCTTATGGAATATGGCCTATTATTTGTAGAGGCTAATTTCCTCTACATCTGACTCTAGTAAATAGTATCCCGTTAACTGAGTATTCAATACAGTCTGAATCTCCTAGTAGAATTATGGATTTACTCGAGATTATTCAAAAGCCTGAACACCAGTTATAGAGATAGTTTATTGTTAAAGATTAGTAAAAATCCGCAAGCGTACAGGAAGCAAGCACACAGGGAAACCAAGAGTGTATGTGTATGTGAGTGTTAAAAATCCATATACATTTGTGAGTGTTAATCAAGTATGGATAAATTATTGATTATCTGTGTATTACAACCAATGGGAGAATAGATTAAAGATTGACATGTGCTCAATCATACTCACACAGAAAATTACATGATAGATCATGTGTCTAAATTACAGTGAGCAGATAAATAATGCAATAGTTGAATGGACTTATTACATAATCTCAAAAATTGCCCTACGTATTGCAATTTTGTCGGGTACATCATCTTTAAATAGTAAACGTATAAATGGCAACTGTTTATTTACTGCCTTGCCTGTTTTGTTTTATTTTCGTAATTTTGAAAGATTTATTTGTCTTAAAATTGGATTTATAACTGTAGAATCTGATGGGAACTTATCGGAGACAATATTCTTTGTTTAGTTTATATAGTCGTTCAATTAAAATTTTCATCAATTACTGATTGATTGATTAGATCAATCAAATTCACCTCATAAAAACTTAGTACTTTAATACAGTTTCATAAATGCACTCACCTTGGATTGTGTTCCATATAAATCGCTTTGTTATATTGGTTATGTTGTTGAAATAATTCACTAAGTTCTGACATATGCGTTGTTACTGATACCTGTTTTGTAAATGAAATTCAGCTTTAGTATCAGTTAAAATCAAAACCTTAAATTTAAGTCTTTATACGTAAAAGAGAAATAAAAGTAATTATGTCTTAGAGAGGAATGACATATAATTATTACAATCAGTGTGATTTTTTTCAGATTATACGGTAATGGTTCCGTAAAAATCAATTCCATTTTAATCTGCTAGTACAGTAGAGGATATCAACCCATTGACTTGTGTCAAACAGATACCTTTCTTAAAGTTTATTTATTAGTTCATTTACCAGAATGTAATTTAATCAGTGAGAATATTATGGTTTAATTTTATATAACGAAATAATTTTTGATAAATGAACTTGCTACGCTCTAAGCTTAGGCTATTGGAGGTAATGATTTGAATGGTATTTTGGTCAAAATTTTCAAGTTAGGTAGGTTCACGAGTCTATACTGATGAATCAACTTTATTCTATAAATAATTTTTTGATAAGTATGTATAGAATAATTAATTATATAGGTGTAAACTTACAAGTGTTCCAATAATAACGAATATAATGAAAATACGACCTATGTAACTTGTACATACAATATCTCCATAACCAACGGTAGCCAATGTTACCAGGATCATGTATAGGCAATCCAAATATTCAAGGTTTTGATTGTTACGTTCTGTGGTCCAAAAATTACCTATGTGTTCAAGCTACAAGATATACGGAGGGAATAATGTGATAATCGAAATACTGAATGACTGAGATTCTCAATACCTGTTAGCAAGAATGATTCAGGAATGGAACTAATTAGTAATCATTTATTTGTAAATAGATAAGACTCCTCAGAAGTGCGCATCCACGATCCCGCCCCCAGCGGGACTCGGACCCAGAACCTACCAGTCTCGCGCCAGGCGCTTAACCAACTAGACCACTGAGCCGGCATCCGACGGTGTTAATGTCTAACTTCAACCAACCCACGAAGTTGCGCCACCGTCACAATTGTCTTCAGTGAGCTGATATCTCAGAACAGACCTGGTTGAACTCCACTGGTCACGGCTTCTCACTAGAACTCCAGGAGTATCTCTTGAGGTCAGTCACTAGTGAGCAGATGATTATTAATAGAATGGGTTTTGTGGAGAATTGGTAATTTCAATAGTTGAAATCATGAATTAATTGAAGCTAGACCACCATGGAAAACCTGGAAGCACTGGACGGCAGTTTCGTCCTAGTATGGGACTCCTCAGCAGTGCGCATCCACGATCCCGCCCCCGCGCGAGATTCATGATTTCAACTATTGAAATTACCAATTCTCCACAAAACCCTTTCTAGAAATAGATAAGAGCCTGAACGACATATACCTGTTTATAAATGGAACAGGTCTTAATACCACGTGGAAAAATATTTTTGTCTTCAGAAACAAAGTGCTATCCTTAATAATTATAACCATGATCATCAAGAAGTAGAACGGCTGTGTCCATTTCAAATAGCTTAGAGATTTTGTAGACAAACCTATAGAGTTTCAAAGATGTCACCTCTGGAACCTGTTCTAACTGTCTTACGACCAATCTGCAAAATACATTATTTTGGTCAAAAATAGACAGCTTTAATCCATATATGAGATGTATGAATGGCAACTTTAAAATCTGGAATAAAAATAGCGGTTCCATTATCATGTTGTTCGTGTTCAATAGCTGTCATCAATCTATTGAGCTCATACTAGAATAAGAGGCAATCTGGGAATTACATCTTCTTGATGTTCTAATAAAAAACAAACCAGAAGAGCCAATACAGAAATAGAAATGTATGTAGTAAATCAACTTGAAATGAATTATATGCGAGTTTTCATATCTGAGTCCTATTGAGCAAGACAAAGAGCATGGTGTACCCTTTATACTTGAGGGCCAGAAGAAAATTGGTCAGTGAAGACAAGTTACATAAACTATCCCAATACCCATCGAAAAATGACTGCTCTATCAAATTTACTGACAATAAGCTGAAGACAAACCACAACCTGAAAAGTCCTCTACAAAACCAAAGAAAACTTTCTTTATGATTATCGATTATAAGAGTGATACTGCATCAGAAATCTTGAAAGCTGTACCTCAAGAACTTTGAAAAGATTCGTATTAGTTTTTTCAGTCACTCTATCATTTGTGAATGATTCAAATTTAAATTTCTTCAAGTTACATAAATGTACACCTATGAGGATTGAATCTCTTGTACATGACAAACATTTTCTAAAAGCATCTCAAATGGTTAGCAGATTCGATTTTTGAAAGAACGATGCAAAACAATCAACATCTTTATTTAGAAACATCTCATGCATTCTAGTTGCGTCGCTCCGACAAAATTTATTTATATTTATTTATTTTAACACATAGGTATTGGTACAAGGAGGTACCAAATACATATGCACCACACAGATCTCACTTGATATGTGTGAGGGCTGTGATACTGCCCGGGTGCCCAAACCGAAGCAGGTGGTTTTCTTAGGGGACCACACCCGGAGCCTTTGACCTGAAGATCTGATCCACAAGGCAGTGGAGCATCGTGAGGACATTCAGTCCCATGGTAGCCGGTGACCAACGATTGGTTCATACGCCATTTGTTCCTTCAGGATACTGGAGCCCATGTGCACCATTGGTTTGGGATCCGGTTAAAGCGCCGGATATTCTCTTTTTGTCCTCTCATTTTCGTAAACAACACATCCGCCACGAGAAGGCAGTGAGTAGGACTTTCTTGGCAGAGGTTGTATACGCGTGGCCATGTGAGAGCATGTGGAGAGGGAGAGTGGACTCTCCCCACTCTCGGCCGTACCAGGGCATTTGGGGGTGGATTCAAAGGGAGCATGCAATAAAAACGTGCACTCCAGAGGCTTTAGTAATTAGGAGTTCAAGAATAAACACTATTTACAAAAACTTCATGTTTAATTTCTCATTTTACCATGGTCTTATCACCCTCCTAGTATTGTTCTTACTCAGTATCCATAATTATCATTCAGATATCATTACCCACTTTCAATTCCCTTTCCTTGTTCTCCAAATGAACGGTGGGTTTCTTTCTCTATATATCTTAGGTACTTAAAAATATATTTATGTATTGTATACAATTTTTTTTCCAAAATATTCCACCGTATCTTTCATTTTCATTAACTGTTATTATTGTCAAATTGTGAAATAAAATAGCTCATAAAACTATGACTATCATTGTTAATATAACTTACAACAAATGCAATACCAGCTATAACAGTCCATGCAGCCAAGAGTTTAAATATTAAATCTACTATACGTATAGAGCGTTCATGATTTATAATTCTCAATAATACTAACGATTCAGGAATTTTTGTCAGTCTAGCGAAATACAAAAATCCAAGCACTAATAAGAAAAAAAGGGGGAAGAGAAAATAATTAATGAATAACAATAATTCATTTGGTGTTGTTATACTTATATCTTCCCATTGTTATTTAGGACTGCAAGTGATCAGTCTCTTGTTGGTATATGTGCATCCTGTGAGGTTTATCTCGATATCGCCTTAAGTCATGAGCTTTCTAAGCAAAGATGGATAGTGGATTCCACTGCTAGCCACTATCGATCTTTGCTTAGATCACAATAATGTTCATTACCTTTTATATATTACTGACTAGACTAGAGTGAATCAGGGTTTTGGATACATTCATGCTATCAGTAATTATGAGTAAACCAACAAACATGTTGATTGTTAAGAGTGAAACTTTTCAAACTTTTTCTAACTTTCTAATATTCATCAAATGAATATGTCAGCACTTAAAACGATGTTGGTTATGAGGTAACTATCAAACATGGGTAAAATGGGAATACACATAGCGTAATAAGTATCTCTTGTGGAATAGTAGTCCAGTGAATAACCCTTTAATACTTATGTCAATGGAAATGTAACCCCAATTAAAGTTGGAACACCAGTACAACTACAGAAGTTCTGATATGTCAGAAATATCCCAAATGATGTATTCTAGTAAATATCAAAACTGTAAAACATTTTGTTAGAATCTTTAAATTCATTTAAGGTAACTTACTGAACTGATAACGCCCTGTAATAAATGTTGAAAAAGTTGAGAGTATAGTGCAATGATCAATCAGAGAGTACAGTGACATCCATGTTGCGAATAAATCATTAGATGCGATAGCCTATACACGTATGTTTAGAATTTTTCCGTCAAATACGAAAACTCATTAAAAAAAATGAATATTATATGCAAATTACTCTTAAAATGAACATGATGAGAAAGATACAATTACAGCTCATTTCTACATAGAATCTCCATTGTTCTGTGAAAGCGATACAGAAAGTATTTTCTGATAAAATCCTGGAAAATAAGAGATAAATAACTGGGAATATTCAAACCTACTGATGTGCATTCCATAGGTATATGCACATACAAAATAAACCTGATAAAGTTCTTGATAGTATCTAAAATCAGAAAAATAATACAAAATTTATAAGAACGAATCAGTTTACCTACTAATTACAATTTACATATTCTAATTTAACCACGATTATGATTATCTCAAAACCAGTTAGACTTAAACATTCTGTTCACTAATGAATAGTGCATCTCTATTATGATCATTCTTATGAAGGGAACACTGAATTTATAACGTGTATGTGCACTACCGAGGAGTCACATACTAAGATGAAACAGCCATCCACTGTACCCAAATTTTAGTGGTGGTTTAATATTGATCAGTTCATGATTTCATTAAAAAACTCAATAATCTTATAGCAACTCACGTTCAATTGAGTTTGCTCTCACCTAATTCGGTTAAGCCCTTCTATTAACTTATTAAACGGACAAAGTCACCTGCACTATAATAACTTATTGTATCCTTATTACTGTTGAGAATGTATGTACCTTTATTATTGTTATCCTTGTATGAATACGTATGCTCGGCAAGCCTTACTGCCTACGCATTTATTCACGCTACTAGCTTTACTATTAACCGCTTAATTGACTCGATGATTCATTAATTTCACTATGTATATATATGTCCATGTTATTCATATTCATGACTCGCTCGCTCGTTCATTCACTCGCTCGATCGCTCGCTCTTGCCCTTGCTCTCTCTCTCTCGCCCGCTCGCTTGCCCGTTTGCATTTCGGCACAACTATTTAATGCTTGCTTAACGCATCTGTAATTTTGGATATCTGTGTGTGGTCCCTTAATAAACGTAATTAACACTTCGTATTCGCCTTCTGATTAACATACCGTTGGAGCATTATTTGGTGACGGTTACCGAGACGAACTGTATACGGAGTTTAAGGAATATATCGAACACCGACCACCACAATCTCCACAACCATATACTAAAAAATGATGATCAATAAACATAGTGAATCATAACAAGTTACATAGAAAGTACTTGCTGAATCTATTTCATGTAATTATAATTTGAAAAAGTAGTTAATCCCCTAATCTGTTATCATGTGATTCCTTTCACAATCCGTGCATAAAATATAACATTGAAATGTACCATTGACATTTATGTCAAATGATTATGGAAGGTAAAATGTGTGACGACAGTGAATGCTTTATATGTAAGTTTAAAATTCGAACAATATGAAAGTAACATGAAGCAATTATTCAATAAATATATAGATGGATTTACTAGGAAATAACTGCAAATAGTTCATATTCCCATTTATTCACTGATCCCTAACATCTACACACTTATCACAAGATATCAAGATCTTCGGTTTAATCTTAAGAGGAACGGGTAGAGATCAGCATTCTAGGGTATTAAAAAAGTATATGTAACTTGTTCTATATCCCTCAGTTTTCATCCGTTTATCTTCTGATAGAAATTCATGATGAAAATTTATAAATACAAAACTAGTGACATTCAGTACAACTTAATAATTTAGATAATACGAGAGGAGATAACATTTTACACTTTATGCTCATCAGTTTTGAGAACAAATATCTTCTGACGACCGGTGTTCGTTAATAAAACATGTTTAGTTTGACCTAATACATATCAGATGAAGTTTTTTATGTTAGAATACAATAGACAAATGTAATTTGTGATAGGAGTATTGTTTTATTGAGATCATGAATTGATCACCATTGAAAACTTAGAAGTACTGGACAGCCGTTATGTTCCAGTATGGGACAACTCAGTGGTGCACTCCACGATCACGTATGAGGGATTCGAACTCAGGGCCTTTGCGAACGCTTAATCTCTAAACCATTGAGCCGCTATTCAACGGTGTTAATGTCTGACTTCAACCAATCCACGGTATTGTGCGATCATCTTCCATTAACTTCAGTGGGTAAATGCCTCACACTCGACATGGTTGAACTCTACCGGTCTCGGCTTCTCACTAGAACTCCGAGAATTCCCTCTCAGAGCTAGTCATTATTGAGCACGTGATAGTCATCGGTACAGGGTTGTGGAAATTGTAGAGCTTTTTTATTTTTTATGGTCTAACATTGATCGGTTCATGATCTTAATAAGATATTCAACAATCTCCACAACTCTATACTTATAGGAATATTACTTAGTATTGCCAGTGACATAAATGAAAATGAAATGAGCAACTTTAAAAAAATTATGGGTGTAAACATACCAGAAATCTTCCAAATGCATTTTTTCCAGCTAATGTAGCTTTAGCACATTTTAGCAACCATAATGAATTTTTAAATCGTAATAATTTTCGAAGATTTTCCTCATCTACATTTCCTTTCTTTCGTTTTCTTTGTGATAGTGTAATTAAATAGATTAATAATGCTCCCATAAAAAATGTTCCTAAGCATATAGACAATAAAATAGCTGCCTGTAGTTCACATGAATATTGGTTTAATAATGTCAAATACATTTTTCAATTATGATACGTTAGTTACACATTTGTCTGTCTGAAAATAAAAAATGACAACTTTTTATTTAAACAATAAAATAAACGTGATTTCATTTGTTATTTACTATTGAACTTAATGTCACTTCATAAACAACCAAAAAACACGAATTACTCACATGATGATCATATATGCACAATTAAAACATGTATCGTTCAGTAACATATCAATTTATTATATTAAGGTCATTATTATATTCAGAAATACTGCACTATGGATTATCACTTTACAGGAATAGAAATAAACAGATAACTACTCGTTCAATATTTAAAATAGTATTATTTTATTATCTCCCAATCAATTTTGAAGGGAGTAAGGTTAGAAAAATAGATGATGTAAAGTAATATATATTATGTAATTCTAAATATATGAACACATTTTTTTTCCTGAACATTATTTCAGATTATTAATCTTCAAAGTTATGAATAAATCATTTTAAATTTTCAATAGTTGAGATCATGAGTCAATTGAAGCTAGACCACTACAGAAAACATGGACGGCCGTTTCGTCCTATTGTGGGACTCTTCGACCGTGCGCATCCACGACCTCGTTTCGCGAGATTCGAACCCAGGACCTATCAGTCTCGTGCGCGAGCGAGCGCTTAACCACTAGAATAATTTCGAAATTATTTTTGTTTATTTTTAAAGTATTCTATGAAAGTACTATACATGTTAAAATTGTGGTATGTTTGCTGCTGATGTCGACAGATAAAGGTAATATGTATCATCAATCGAAAGTGAAATGCCTGGAGGTAGGATGTTAAGAAGATCAAATAAAAGAGAACGAAAACAGAGAATGATTGGTGTAGAAATGAAGGAACAATGAAGTCTGAAACAATTAATGAATGGTTTATAAATGAAGTATTAACCGTATGGTTCTCAGATTTTACTAAGATATTTTGTAATTTTGTGTTGTAATATATTCGATTGTCCCCAATTGTGTTCTCGTTCACTATAAAATGATGTCTTCAAACACAATGATGGCAATTTATGAATACAGGAATACTTTGACTACGTCAAAATGGGCAGGAGTGCAATAAGCGATTAATGAAAATGTGGAAAAAATATGTGAATTGGACTTATTTATAAATACGGTGTGTGTTCATTGTGTTACTGTGCTTGCTTTAAATGTTTGTCGAAGTACTGGAGAATATGAGCATAATTTTCATCTGTAGATAGTATTACCAAAAGAATATTTAAAAATGAAGAAAGATTAAAGGTCTAAACAATTGTTTATATAAAATGACTGAATAATATACGTTGTGAACCTCATACGCAATATGGTAGAAGTTTCAAACAAATATTTTACCCATCCGTTTATTGGACAATGATTGTGAAGAAGCATGTAAAAAGGAGGATTTTAACGATATATATCTATTCATTTGTAAAGTATTGTTCATTTGGTAAATTTCCTACCGAATCATTTTCTCTTAAAACCAAACATTAATCAAGCTTTTTCGCATAAACATTTAGATAGTGGCTTATTTATAAATTGACTAGAGTGATGAAAATGTTTATAAATAGGTGATATTTGCAAATAACATCAGAAATTCGATGTATACGAAAACTATACTTTTAGTTTATTGATCTGCCTTTATTCGTTAGAACCAAACAATAATTATGATAGACTGGTGTGGCCGGATACCATCAGCAACATCTATCTGTGGGAGAGAACAAACCATCTTCCAGCTGAAGAGGAAATTAGGAAAATGCGATGGAAATGAATAGGACATTTATTACTCAAATCACCAAACTGCATCACGAAGAAAGCTGTAACTTCGAATCCTGAAGAGAAGCGGAAAAGAGGAAGGCCAAAGAACATATTACGTCGGGAAATAGAAGCAGATATGAAAAGGATGAATAACAACTGGAAAGAGCTGGAAAGGAATGCTTGGGACAGGGTTGGATGGCGAGTGCTGGTGAGCGGCCTACTCTCCTCCACGAGGAGTAACAGGCGTAAGTAAGTAAGTAAGGTGCGAAGAAGATAGTTTGTGTCCTATACGATAATATCTCGTTATCATTGTAAATAAATACCAGCGTATATTAAAAATGCGTTAACACAATCCCACTGCATTAAATGTTTGGTGGTTTTTTGAAGATATTTATAGTTTTTTAAAGAAATTTAGTCATGAATTGATTTCTTTCACAGAACCATTAAAAACAAAATAACAATAACTGTTTCCTATTCGGTTTGAAATTTCGCATCATCGTCTTTCAGTTATTGTACTTGAATACAGCGATT